ACCTGAAATCCCAGCTATTCGGGAGGTCAAGGCAGGAGAGGAGCTGTGAGTCCTGATGCTGTCTCAATAATAACAGTAGCAAGAGACTGAGGATGTAATTCAGGGGTCTCTGGGTTCAACCCCGAGCCCTGAAAACATCCTGAGAAAGTTGGTTTCTATCTCTTGGGCCTTACAGGGCCCGCCTCATGTGTGGCATGTGCTAAGATCCATCCTCCAGTCTGAACTACATCCCCACACCTTGAGACACGATTTTGTTGCCCAGGCTGTGGTCAACCTGCTTCAGCCTCCCAGAGTGCAGGTATTACAGACCGGTTCACGTATTTTTTTAATTCTCTTATTAGGGGTGTGTTTTACCTGATGTTTTGAAAGATACATGTCAGAGAGCCGAGCTGGCTTTGCCAAGCACCAGTGAAACACACCCTCGAAGGCAGGCGCCGCGGTAGCCAGGATTGCCGCTCGGAATTTCAAAGGGGGCGCCCTGCCGTCTGCTCACCGGAAAACTTGTGAAAGGCCCAGGACCACCTGCTCATTGCTCCTGGGACTGGCTCATTTTCTTTCTTTCACTTTTAAAATATAAAACATCTTGATTTAAAATTTCTGGAAAATGAGTTTTATCTAACTGGCAAACAGTTTAATAAAAAACTCTGAATTGCTAGCTGTGCAGACTGGTGCAAGCACACCCGGTTTTACTGCTCCTACATGAAAACTATCACCTCTGACACTCACACGTCCTAATTACTGTCACACCCTTCCAGCCCTCCATTCTGCTTACTGCACCACATACACTTGAAACCAACAAGTTGACATGCGGGCGGATGCTCCCTTTTTTGGTACCTGTAATCAAACTCAGGACCCTGAGTTTCCCAGGCAGGTGCTATGCCACTGAGCTATATCCTGGGCCCAGATACTCCTTTGGGTCCAAGTTTTGGGAAACTAGGTTCAATGCAATGAACCTCCTACCATGGGAATCTTTTTTTTTTTTTTCCTGCAAAGCTTTATTCCAACCCGGACCCAGCTCAGTCCGTGGTGGCCGCCTTCCGCATGGTGCCAACGCTGTCAGCAACTCAAGCTTCCCCCTGGAGCGGATGTGCGCCCCACCCTTTTCTCAATGAACTTGAGGGCCCACTTGTCCTTGGAGACCTTCAGCAGCTTGACAGCACGCCGCTCGTGGGGCCTGAAGCCGCACACCTCCTGGATCACGTCCCGCACGAACTTGGTGTGCTTGGTAAGGCGCTGCAGCAGCAACTGTGCCTCGGTTTGCTCCCGTTCTTCGTCACCTGTGGCTCTTGTTGAGGCCCACGGCCATGGGGTAGCGCAGGGCCATGGCTGCTGCAGCAGAAGACCTTGAAAATCTTTTTTTTTTTTAATCGTTACCGGGGATCGAACTCACAACTGCGCGCTTACAAGGCTTATGCCACTGAGCTAAATCCCTGGCCCCCAACCACGAAAATCTTATATTCTTAACAGCTCTGTCGTCTTGCTCCCCCAAAACTGGACTAATCTGCTTAAATGTTTTTACTGGTACATACAGACATCCAATTCCCGGACTCCCATCACTCACACAGTTACAGAGGTCCACGCGTGAGGGTCCTTGTTCGGAGCTACTCACAGGCAGGAACTCGAGTCCCCCTCACCCTTTCTTCATCTGTGACAGGGAGAAGGGTGCCTGCCAAGTCAGCAGGCACTAAACGGAAAGGAAACTGCCCTCACCACCACGCTGTGCTGCGCTCTAACTCCTGGGGTCGGATTCGTTTCAGACTCTCTCGCCTCACGTTCAAACCTTTGTTAAAATGCTTTGTACAGTACCATAAGAGATCTTCTGGCTCTCAGAAACTTCCTAATAGGAAACCGCTTGTTCAATGGATTTTTTTTTTTTTTTTTTTTTGGTATTGGGGATTGAACTCATGACCTCAGGTTTGCCAGGCAGGTGCTTATGCCTCGGTGCTAAATCCCCAGTCCTAGTGGAATCTTTTCACTTACTCTTTCAACATTTCCTTGGGTTTCTGACACTGAATCATTAAGAGTCACAACTTGTAAACCATCTTCCTGGTCACTGCAGCATGGCTGTACACTCACCAACATTTTATGTTTCTTTAGCACTTTTTGCAGTTTGAAACAAAATGTCATGTTCATGCTTTGTTCACGATCCATCACCTCAATCTCAGCTCAGACCCTCTGCAAGCCGGAACTTGTGGTTACCAAGGTTTCACGCACTCTTCAGTTGAGGGTCTCTGCCTTTTTGCTGTCTGGTTTTGTTTACCACACCAGGCATTATTCTGTTGTAACTATAGTGACCATGGGGGTCAGCTGAAGTAACAAGCATGCACACATCTGGCTGCAGTGGCTCCTAACAGCAGTGTTGAACCTGTGCACGGAAGCCAGGCTGCTGCCCTCTGAATGTGCAAGAGATTTCTGGGGCCAAAGATGGGGTCTTGCAACCATGGTGAGGCCCACCTGGAACCTGCTGAACAGTCATGACAGGCCCTCCCATCAACCTCTTAAGACAGAAAAAGCCTGACTTGTTTTTAGACCCTTGTTCACTCTAAAATTTTGAATTTTCCCAGTGAAGTCTGCTACTGAAATTCGTTCATCTGTCCAGTCTGACTTGGAGTTAGATGATTTTTGGCTACAGGAAATTTCTACTTACTCACTCTCAAAGTTCCTTTTCCTATATTCCCTCTCCAGGTTTTTTCTTTCTTTCTTTTTTGTACTGGGGATTAAACTCATAACCTTGCACTTGCCAGGCAGGCGCTTACACCACTAAGCTAAATGCCCAGCTTCAGTTTTTTCTTTTGAGACATGGTCTCATTATGCAGCTGAGGCTGGCCTCAAATTTGCAGTTTCTTCTTCTCAGCCTCCCAAGTGCTAGGATTACAGGTGTGTGCCACATCGGGCAGGCTTTCTTTGCAAACTCTCCTAAGCCACTGCCTGGGACTCCCAATGCCACCAAAGGAGCATAGTGAGCAGCTTCCTGCAGGAGGCAGAAACAGCAGAGCCTCCCCAACTTCCCAGAATCAACACCTGTAGTTGAGGGAGCTGCACCTGTGCTGTAGCCAGTGCAACTGTGGGGACAGAGACCCTGGGATAGACTGACCACTTTTCATTTTTGCTGCTCCAGATTCTCAGAATGCCACTGCTAACTACTTCTTCTGAAGTAGTTAGTAGTATTTTTTGAGTGATTTTTTTTCTAGGCAGGTATTATTTGGTTTAGGTTGGCCTTGATTCACTACATAGCCCAGGCTGTCCTCAAATTTCCGATGATCCTCCTGCCTCAGCCTCAAGTGGTGAGATTACAGACGCACACCATTATCCTTGGCTTTTTTGGTACCAGGAATTGAATTCCCGACCTTATTCCTGCCAGGCTGGTGCTATGCCACTGAGCTGCATCCCCAGCCCCTTGCTTTGTTCTGAGACAGAGCCTTGCTATGTGCTTCAGGCTGTCCTTGAACTCACTATGCAGTGCCAGGTGGCTTCAAATTCGTGGCCATTCTCCTGCCTCAGCCCAAATGTTGGGATTACAAGGGTGTGCTGCCACACCCAGCTGTGGTGGTACTTATTTTCCCAAATATCTCTTGTTCTGCCTTCTGCCTCCTAGATGCACCATTTCCTTGAATTTCTGAGGATTTTAACCCTAGTCATCCTGGGATATCTGCATCGAGGTGGCCTCCTGACTTCTCTGTATCTTCCTGTTCCAGCTGCCTTGCTTTCATCACTCTAAAGGCCTTAGTGGTTTCTTTCCTAGCTTGGGAGGGGACAGGAGGCTCTTCTCCACAGCTGCTGTGCAGTTTTGCAGCTGTTTGTTAAACCTCTGCCCTGAATGCAAGAGCTGCAGGGACTGAACAAGTAGTAGCACATCATATGAGGCAGTTGTCAAAGACCACGGAGATCCCCATACCCTGCACTCAAAACATCACAATGGTTGCATCTTATGTGATTATGGTACATCAACCAAGGACTGTAACACGGGCTCAGTATTTCATGCACCCAGCATTGCAGTGGTGATGCCTTGGCTGCTCCCTCTCCCACAGGCCCCCCACACCAACACCTAACCCTAGACCCTCCTACCACAAGAACTTCAAGATTGCCCATCTCCTTGCCGGGCGTGGTGGCTCACGCCTGTAATCCCAGCACTCAGGAGGCTGAGGCAGGAGGATCGTTGCGAGTTTGAGACCAGCCTGGGCTACAAAGTGAGCTCAAGGCCAGCCTGAACTGCACAGCGAGACCCTGTCTCAAAAAGACCAAAAAAAAAAAAAAAAAAAAAAAAAAATCGCCCATCTCCAATTCCACAGATACAACATCTCTGGAATAAACAGCGAAGCCCTGACGTGCCTCCCTGGCAGGTGTACTTGCTGACAAGCCCAGGGACTAGGGCCACCGTGGAGGGCTGGGAAGCCCCTCATGCTCGTATCCAGCTCTGCATCGTGGACTGGGGCCACGGCCTCCTGCGCGCCCACCTTCGGGTGCCACTGTCTCCCGGAGACCTCTCGGGATCGCTGCAGAGCTGTGCACCTCACGGAGACCGGCGGGGTGGGAGGATGAGCCCGCGGGCGCCCGTGGTGGGGTCTTGGGCCGGGTGCGGAGTGTGGCGTGGTCCGCAAGAGGGGTCAGGGCGCGGCGAGGGAATCCTAGGGCACAAAACCCGACCTGACTTCCGCGTAGGGCCCGCCAGCCGGGAAATCTCGCCCACCCGTAAGGCCTCGCCTGCGCCCGGCCACAGCCGCCGAACCCAAAGCCCGCGTTGCTTGCGAGAAGACGACTTGAGGGGTCCCCCAGAACACAGGGTGGATCGCAGACTCCGCCAGGAAGCGCTGAACCGCTACGACACATTCTGAATCCGGACGCAGACCAAGTCACGTGTGATGCGGCAGCGGTGACGCTCAACACGTACGCGACGTGCATAGGGAACGTGTGCACTGTGCGCCGCCAGAGCAGGGCGCATGCGCAACGGGACGCAGGCAGCAGAGCGCCTGCGCAATGACTGGCGGAAGGAAGGGTGCATGCGCATTTGGGTGCAGGGCCATGGGCGGGGTGTGGACTGTACGGCGATGGCTGTTCCCGGTCCGGTTCCGACTCTGGCTTCCTGGAGCCGCAAGTGAGCGGACTCTTGAAGGCCAGCAACGCCGCCATGTACCCCCCGCCGCCGCCGGCGCCTCACCGGGACTTCATCTCGGTGACGCTGAGCTTGGGCGAGAGCTACGATAACAGCAAGAGCCGGCGGCGGCGTTCGTGCTGGAGGGTGAGGCAAGGGTGGTGCTGCGGCGTCCCCCGGGGAGCAGGCACTGCGCGTGGGGCGCGGGGCGCAGGGCGCAGACCTTCGACAGTTCTCAGAAATCTTTGACACTGCCTGAGCCTTCTCAGAACCCTAAAAAGTTCAGTGCAATAGTAATATTCCCCGCTTAGTTCCCCCCAGGATGTTCGAAGTAGTTCAGGCTAAAGGGCGCGTAGGCAAAATAGGGCAGGTGCCCAGCCATGTCTGTCCTCGGTCAGATCGCTGGCATCGCAGGAGTCATACCGCAACGGAAAGGTCTCAGCGTGGTTCGCACTGTCAATTTTCCTGTCACTTGCAGTGCTGCCCTGCAGGGCAAACCCTGCTGACCCGGAGCTTTTCCCTACGCAAATATGCACAGTTGCCCCATGGGACTTTCCAAAGAACTTGATGGCCTCCCTGGATCTGTTACAGTGAAAGAGGTAGAGCTGTCATGTTTTCAGTAAGACGTGTCATTCTTTGCCCTCTCCCTAGAAATGGAAGCAGCTGTCGAGATTACAGCGGAACGTGATTCTCTTTCTGTTGGCCTTTCTGGTTCTATGTGCATTCCTGTCCTACACCCACTCCTCCAGCCAGTGGAAAGGTACCAGAAACACAGTGACGCCTGAGGATACTTGGGCTAAGGGCAGATGCGGTCACGCAGTCCACTGTAATAGCTTCAGGAGGCCTATATGGCAGCAAGGTGGCAGGAAATGCAGAGGGGTTGGAAGAGGGAGCAGTGTGAAATCACCTGACTGTGACACACAGATGTAGTTGGGGCCGGATAACTGCTGCCTGGGTATCTGAAGTCAGCACTACTGTCCCTGGCTTCTCTCCTTTAGAGAATGTTAAGCATGAGCTTGAACACTGAGTCCTGACCGTTCCTTTACTGTCCTAGCATGGGATACCATGTGTCAGGAAAACTCAGCAGATTTCTGGGGAGGACAGAGAGCATCTCCCAAGCTTCTCCAAGATGGTTGCCCTGGGGGAAGGCTTCGGCACCCTGCAGGTCATGTAGGCAGATTGCCTGCTTGGCACTGTATTGTGCTCTGGGACAGCCACTGCTGAGGAAACATGGAAGAGGCACAGGACACACTGCAAGAGCTTTGAAAAATACTAGATTTCCTCTGCCCATTCTGAAATCCAGTGACTTCCCAGAGCCCTCCTGTGTGGCCCTCTTGCTAAGTCTCCCCAGAGCTGGTGGTGCCATTGAGATGGAGGGTTCTCTCTGCAGCTCTAGGTGGCAGCCCCACAGAAGGGGAGAGGCTGAGGGTGGAAGTGCCTCGACCGAAACCAGCAAACCCGCCCGTCTTACCAGCTCCTCAGAAGGCAGACACCAACCCAGAGGATGTGCTTACAATGTTGCCTCAGGTACTTGCAGTTAGCACTCTGTGGAGTCCCGCATTGCAGGGTGGTTGGTACTGCTTCAGTCAGGCCGAGCACACCTCTTCTCCTACCATGCACTGTGTAGTTCCCCGTCACGTGCCTCTGTCCTGGGCTGGCTGCATGAGTGCTGGGGAGGAGAGAGACATCGTCACCTGTTACCTGGACACCCACTGTGGCTGGTTCCTGTGTTAGGTGCTTGCCCCATAGCAACGAAGACCGGTCTCTTGTCTTGGGGCCACAGAATGGGAGGAGGAGAGGCAGTGAGAGGACAGCAGCACACAGGATCAGGTCGGCAGCATAAATTGTAAGTTGTGAAAGGAAAGAGCAGGAGGTGGGAGACAGGAAGGCAGTGGGTGCTGCGGGCCAGGGTAGCCCCTTGAGAACACTATCTGCAGGCTGAGAAGCCCATTTGTGGTCAGGATAGGCAGAGTAGGACTAAGTCCCTGACACTACCCAAGCAAGGAGGAGGATATATATTTCTGGAAGAGAAATTCCTGGGGCTGAGTTGGGGGACAGGTGTCAGAAGGAGTGTGACCAGCATGGTGGTGTCACCTGGAGATGTCAGGAAACTTGGCAAAAGGACCTGTGTGTGTTGGCTTGAAGCCAATTGGTAGGGTGGGAATGCAATGTTGAGGCCTCCAGAAAAGAGGGCAAGATGCAGGGAAAACAGGGCCGTGGACACTGTGGGGATCTTGGTGACAGAGGGACACTCTGCAGGACAGGGTGAAGGCCTGTGGACAGCAGATCCCTAAGCAGAGTGAGGGTTGCAGAACAGTCTAGAGATATGGAGAAGCTGCCAGGCTCTGCTGTATTGGTGGTGCCCAGGAGGCAGTGGGGCCCGTCCATGGGCAGGTAGCACCGGAGTTCCCATAGAGATGGTACATATTGTCTAGCAAGAGTAGAGAAGGACCAGGCCTAGGCCTGGGGTGCTGGGCTAGGAAATTTGGGGTGTAGAAGCAGGGAGAAGGGAGTCCAGAAATGGGACAGGCAGTAAGAGAGCCAGAAGCAAGCATACCAGTGGGAGTTGGCTGGGGACCAAACACGGCCTCGCCCAGTGCCTAGAGAGTGGGTCAGTGGCCACTTACAGGCAGCTCTGTACCTGTCAACCTTGGATGTCAATCACTAATGTCCACGTGGCCCAAGTGTGGCCAGCTGACATGGCCTCGAGGCTTCCCTTGGCAGCCAACTACTGGGTGGCAGAGCACAGCTGGAGGTTGGATGGCTCCCAACCTGAGAGGAGCCCAGCCTCTGCGCACTAGTCGGGTCCAAACGTGAAGGGTTTGTGGGTGAGCTCGAGGCTACCATCACTTTAAATACATTGTTGTTCTTTCTGCCTGAGAGAGGCTGTCATATGCAGATTGCTGGATGTTCCACCCAAGTGATGGGAAGTGCAAAGCAGCAGGAGGAGGCTATGGGGCTGCAGAGCAAGCCCACGTCCTGCTGTAGAAAATAGCATCTGTGTAGCTGTGTCTGATTGGCTCTGTGGTGGAGGCTGGGGTTGGAAAGGCCAGGATGGTCTCAGCCTGCGGTGCTGGGGGAGGGGGGGGCACTGTGCAACAGTGGCTGGGGGAGCCTATCTCAGGTGAAGGTCCGTGCGCAAGGGGGAGTCAGTTTTCCTGGACAAGGCGGATCCCCAGGTCACTGTGACGCACATGGCATGTTGGTTTCTGGATGTAGGTGTGTGTGCCCATATAAGGTTTTGGTGTCTGTTGGGGTGTGTATCTGGATTCTTGTTGCACATTGTAGAATCTCGGGGTTTCTAGGGCATGGGTTATGTTAATATACTGCGTCGTTTGTCTGCTGAGGATTCTCTGACCATTCACAGCTAGGCCATGGCTGGGGTACAGACCTGCTGCCAGGGAAGGACCGGGAACAGGGATGCCCCTCAGTGGGTGGCAGGCCTGTGCCAGTATGGGAGGGAAAGCCATGGCTCCCTGCCAGCTTCCAGGCTGAGGCCATGACTCCCCTGCCTCCCATCCACAGAGTCTTTGTCCGTGCTATTTCCCCACTCCAAGCTCTGTGGCAGTGTTGAAATCTCCATCCAACCCTTTCAGGCCTGAACGGCTAGCCAGGGGGCACATTCCACACTCCTAGGGATCAGGCTCTCCACCTGGCAGACCTGTTCAAAGTGGAAGCTGTTCCCCAAGATAGGGAGCTCATGGGGTCCGGCCCTGTCCCGGTGGGCGTGTGGGAGGAGAGAGGCCTGGGCCACTGTTGAAGCAGGGGATGTGTTCTCATCTGTGACTCTGGTGTTTGTCCAGAAACCTCAGAAGCCTGTCTGGCGGCGACCGCCCCGTCTGCAGATCAGAGCCCCCGACATCGGCTCCAAGGATGGGACACAGGGTGAGGCCCTGCGGAATACTCGCCAGGAAGAAACCCCTCTGCGAACAGTCATCAGGTACTGAGAGCAGCAGCCTGGCAGGGCTGGCTGCTCGGTCACAGGCAACCTTGGGGACTTCACAAGCAGACTGGCGCTTTGTCTGCAGCTTCCCACTGGACACAGTGTGTCTGGGAAAGGTGTCTTCCTTGAGATTTAATTATGCAGTCACATTTCTTTTTTATTTTTCCTTTCCATTCTTCCCCCCCCACCCTTTTTTTTTTGTGAGACAGGGTCTCACTGTGTAGTTCAAGTTCAGACTGGCCTGGAACTCACTATGTAGCCCAGCCCAGGCTGGCTTTGAACTCCTGGTGATCCTCCTGTCTCAGCTTCCCGAGTGCTCCCCTCTCTGGTGTTACTTTTTCCAGCACCACTGCCTTTAGGCTCCTTGTGCTCCAGTCTCTGACTCCAAGGCTTTCCGTGTTGGGACAGCTCTCGCATTGTCCTCTCCACAGGCAGATGCCCATGCTGGAGGGTATGGAGACTGACTGCCTATTTTTTTGTCCACATGGCCACAGCACCTTTGGAGTTGGGGCCCTCTGCTACAGGGTAGGAGTTCATGGAAGGCAGAGTCCCAACAGTCCTCCTCGTTTCTTGCAGCTGGCGGGGAGCAGTAATTGAGCCTGAGCAGGGCACTGAGCACCCTTCAAAAAAAGCAGCTGGTGTGCCCACACCTTCTTTGCCAGCGGCCAGGACACAGAAGGAGCCTGGTGAGGACCTCTGCTGCCCAGCCTCCCAGGCATAGACCCAGCCTGAGCCACATGCCTCTTGGCCCCCCAGGAGGAGCCCTGGCCCCCGTCCAAGTGCCCCCGCAGCAGGAATTTCACTGCTGCCTACATTGGCTTGGGAGATTTGGTTACACAGCTCTATGCTTGGGCCCAGCTGCACCTTGGGATCCCTGACCATGACTTTAAGTGTCCCTTTGCCCTGTGCCTGAGGAGTCTTTGCATGGCAGCTCTGCGCGTGCCTGTCCTTCTGTCCTCATGGTGTTCTCTGAGGTGAAAGTGCCTCCGAGTTCCCACTCTGCAGCCAGGGAGCGACCAGCGCTGGCCTTACATGGTGCCTGCCGTGCCAGTACTGTGGCCACCTCCACAGGCCCATAGCTAGCATAGCCATGTCAAGGAGGGCGGCTGGTGTGACACTCGTGTTCACCACTCACTGGATGAGGACAGAGCTTCTTAGAGTGCTGGCCAGCAGGACATGGCTACAGCCAGTAACCTGCTTGCTGTCCCTGTGCATGAACAGCTCCCAGCTCTGCATCCATGTCATGCTCTGTGAGCCTGGTGAGCAGGTTTGCTGCTTTGTGTTGCATTATGGGGTGGTGTCTGTCCCCCAAGACCAGATGCTCCTGTGGCCTGAAAGAGGTGATAATCCATACACACCCTGCAGGGCAACCTCAGTGCTTGGGCATGCCGTGCTGTCCCTGAGGTCCCATTACAACCCCTGGGTCCCCAGAATCACTGCTCTGCTACAGTGCTCTCTGCCCTTCTGCTCCCACGCCACCTCTGCACATCCCTCTGCCCATGTTCACTGGGGGCACCACAGAAGGGCCCCAGCAGTGGGGAGCCGGGTGGCGTCCCCACTACCTGTGCTCTCCCCTCCAGCCTCCCCAAACAGACGCCAGAAAGGGGTGATCGAGGCCTTCCTCCATGCCTGGAAGGGGTACCGCAAGTTCTCCTGGGGCCACGATGAGCTGAAGCCCGTGTCTAGGACCTTTAGCGAGTGGTTCGGCCTGGGCCTCACCCTGGTCGACGCCCTGGATACCATGTGGCTTCTGGGTTTGAAGAAAGGTACTCGAGAGCTTGGTCCTGAGCAGTGTGGGACTGTTTCCTCCTGGGCTTGGGCTGTGCCTCCTCAGGCACAAGACAGGATGTATCCTGGGTGCTCAGGGCCTGATCTTATGTCTGCCGTCCAGGGTCAGTTTGAACAGCTGTCCCCTGGCCTCCTTGAGAGCCAAGGGTGGGAATGGAGGGGTTGTCCAAGGGATATCTCTGGCCTGTTCCACAGGGCACAGGAGCCCCCGATCTCCATAGTGTCCACCTGAGGCCCCCGGGCCAGCTAACTGGAAGTGTCTGGGGTACTTCTGGAATTGGTAGTAAAACGCTTGGTGGCTTAACAGCTTGAGGACCTCAGCAACTCCCTGTCGTTGCATCACAGTGCTTGTAGGGCCACCTATGTTCCCCAGGGCTGCTGTGCTACCTTTCCTGACTGTACAGTGACAGCCTCCAGGTCACCCCTAGCCGCAACAGGCCCTGACACTCTGCATGGACCATTCTCTCAGGAGGACTGGGGAAATGGAAGAGAAGGAGATCACGAGTCCACTCCTGAACCCCACTCTTGTTATAGAGTTTAAAGAAGCCAGGACATGGGTGTCAACAAAGCTAAACTTTGAGAAAGACGTGGACGTCAACTTGTTCGAGAGCACCATCCGCATTCTAGGGGGCCTGCTGAGCACCTACCACTTGTCGGGGGACAGCCTGTTCCTGAGGAAAGCCGTGAGTGGCTCCTGCTTGGGCCTTCTTCCGGCTTTGTCTCCACACACATCCGCCGCGCCCTCAGGAGGAGCCCCCGGCTCTGCTGGCTCGCAGCTCATTCACTGTCTGCAAGGCTGGGAGGCCACCAAGCTGAATCTCCCTAGTTAGACCGAGGTGGGAAGAGGCCCTCGGGACCGACAACATTGATCCTGTGCTGCTCTTCTCTGCCAGGAAGACTTTGGAAACCGCCTGATGCCTGCCTTTGCCACACCCTCCAAGATCCCGTATTCTGATGTGAACATCGGCACTGGAGTCGCCCACCCACCCCGATGGACTTCAGACAGCACTGTGGCTGAGGTGACAAGCATCCAGCTCGAGTTCCGGGAGCTCTCTCGCCTCACAGGGAATAAGAAATTCCAGGTAAGATGGGTTGCACGTCCCAGGGGAGCTGGTCCTTCCTAGTTGCAAGTGCCCTCAGTGCAGTGCATATGTCCATGCATGTGTGTGTGTGTGTGTGTGTGTGTGTGCATGTTAATCTCCCTCTGTGGTATTTGTTGGCTATAAGAAAATGTTTGTGGCTATCACGCCATCTCTAGCTGTTTTCTGTGTGTGAAACTAAAAGTGTCCCAGTAAAAAAAACTCCACTCCCCCCGGACCTGCAATTCCTGCGCCATCATCTGTCTGTCAGTTGTGTGCTGAATCTCAGCAATGTAATGTAAGCACCTGGTGAGCAAGAGGCTGTGAGCTCAATCCCTGGTACCAAAAAAGAAAAAGAGGAAGAGTAGAATCTCGCAATGCGGGCCCTCGGTGCCTGGCCCCTTTGTCCATGTTGCTGTGTGGTGGCAAAGCACAGCCCTCTTGGCCCTGGCATGGGGACAGCTTCATGCTTGTCCGCTCACCTTCATGGGTTTCGCCCCATCCAGCCCGGTGAATACACCTGCTGGGAGTTGGGCTGACAGACAGCTGCTCTTGGGGTTTGAGGCTCTGGACCTGGACCTGGTGGGGCTGGGCCAGGTGGCGATCCTGTGTGATTCTGTGGAGGGCCAGGCTGTCTTCCCCCATGGTCATGCCTTCTGTGTTGCCCACAGTGTCCAGCACACTGTTTCTTCACGTCCTCATCAGTGCTTGTTGTCTGTTGTCATGGTGACCAACCTCATGGTGTGGTCTTGTGATGGTCTTGCCCCCGCCTTTTGCCTGTAGTGACTTGAACACTTTACTATGTGTCCTCTCTGGAGGAATGTCACTTTGCATCCCCTCTGGTAGCCAGGGGTGGAAGCCAGGGCCTGGTGTACAAACATGCATGCCACTGAGGTTTCTGCTCGATGTTGCAGCCTTTCTTGTGGTCTTTGCACAGTGCAGAAACTCAGATGGTGCTGGCCTCCTGATCTGGGTTCCAGAGCTTCCTGCAGACCATGAGACGCTCCCCACAATAATCCCTCCCCTATTTCAGGAGGCCGTAGAGAACGTGACGAGGCACATCCACTCCCTGTCTGGGAAGAAGGATGGATTGGTGCCCATGTTCATCAACACGCACAGCGGCCTCTTCACCCACCTGGGCGTGTTCACACTGGGTGCCAGGGCCGACAGCTACTATGAGTACCTGCTGAAGCAGTGGATCCAGGGTGGGAAGACGGAAACACAGTGAGGCCATTTCCACTGCCCTCGGGCCAGCTTCCCCGCTCCTTCTGCCCCGTCCTGTCAGGACCTGTAGCAGTGCAGGATGAGTGTGAATATGTCCCCTCCGCGCCCTTGTGGGGTGAGGGGTCATGTGCACATGGCATCTGCACGCGTGAATGGGTGGTGCAGCCCTCAGCAGGTCATGCAGTGGCACGGCCAGGGGATGCTGACCCACCGGTGTCTGCAGGCTGCTGGAGGACTACCTCGTGGCCATCGAGGGGATAAAAGCACACCTGCTGCGGCGCTCAGAGCCCGGGAAGCTTGTCTTTGTTGGGGAGCTTGCCCATGGCCGCTTCAGTGCCAAGATGGTGAGCTGTGTGGGCTGGGCTGGTGGGGCCTTCTTTGTGGCTTCTAAGGCGCCAGAGTCTGCATGTTAGAAGGACAAGGACTTTGGGCCAAGAGAACCAGTGCTGTTGGGGTGGACTTTTGCTGCCCATCCTGTCTCTGGCCAGTGCTTCACTGACTTGCCAGGAGGACATGGGGCCCCCCACCCCCAGCTAGCTCTCCTTCATGGAAGGCTCCTCAGGTGCCCAGCAGGCAGCAGTGGGAGACAGAGACCCAGAGCAGGAGACGCTGGGCCTGGGCCCTCATCCAGCGTTGCCCCCATTCCCTGCTGGGGGACGCTTTCCCTTGGGAGGGTGGGGCTGAGCAGGCAGGTGGTGCAGACCCGGATCCAGCTGTGAGGAGCCCCTCTGATTCCAGGACCACCTGGTGTGCTTCCTGCCAGGGACGCTGGCCCTGGGTGTCCACCACGGCCTGCCCACTGAACACATGGAGCTGGCCCTGGCACTCATGGAGACCTGCTACCAAATGAATCACCAGATGGAGACGGGGCTGAGTCCCGAGATTGCCCACTTCAACACCTTCTCCCGGCCTGACCTAAAGGATGTGATAGTCAAGGTGAGCCTGGGGTCCCTCTCAGGTGGGGGTGGCACCCGAGAGTTTGGCCGTGCCCTGAGCTTCCCCTGTGCCCCAGCCGGCGGACAGACACAACCTGCTGCGCCCTGAGACTGTGGAAAGTCTGTTCTACCTGTATCGTGTTACGGGGGACCGCAAATACCAGGATTGGGGCTGGGAAATCCTACAGAGCTTCAACAAGTACACACGGGTGAGTGTTGGCCCCAGCATCACAGGTGCTGGCAGTGGCATGGCTGGGTGCCACAGGCCTCGGACAGGCTGTACCCTGGGGTGCTGCTGCAGGTCCTAGTAGGCTGGGCCTCTGTGGCTGCACCTCAGCTGCGCACAGCCTGATGGGGGCTGCTGGCATCAGACAATCATGCTTGGTGGCTGCCCATGCTCTTCTGGGAGAGGTCCCCACAGTGGCCCATATCTGTTGCCCACTGTTGAAGAGGCAGAGTCCAGAAAAGGCTATATCTAGCCCAGCTCTTGGTCTCTGCAGTGCAGCCATACATGCCTGGACCTAGCCCTGGCTCTCTATGTATTGCTCTGGGCCTGGGGCTTCCTCTAGCAGCCCCTGCCCTTTCTCCACCAGTGTGAGGCACTGGGCCCTGGAGACCCCTCAGTCTGGGTACTGCATCCCCAAGCCTTCCCTGGGGCTCATGCACTGTGGGGCCGGAACTGGGGGTATTGCCTGTAGCTAGTGGGTCTCCCAAGGGCTGTCTCCAGGTGTGCAGACTCAGGTGCACAGGCTCGTCTCCAAGCCCTGTGCTCTCACACAGGTCCGTTCAGGTGGCTATTCTTCCATCAACAATGTGCAGAGTACCCAGAAGCCAGAGCCCAGGGATAAGATGGAGAGCTTCTTCCTGGGCGAGACTCTCAAGTACCTCTACCTGCTGTTCTCTGATGATCCAGACCTGCTCAGCCTGGACCACTATGTGTTCAACACCGAGGCCCATCCCCTGCCCATCTGGAGCCCTGTCTAGGGGTGGCGCCTGGCCTGGGCCTGCAGGAGGGAAGCAGTTGCCTCTGGGACCGCGAGTGTTTTCAGAGCACTTGTGGGGTGGCAGTGGGCAGCTGCTGAGCGTCTCTTATGTTCCTGCCCTGGCCCCTGGCCATTGTCTCTGCCTTGGTCCGCAGGCACAGGGTTCAAGACGAATGGTCTATGGCAGCCTCTGGCTTTGTCCTCTGTGACACTCAAATTGTCAGTCCCAACCCTTGAATATCCATGGATTACTGCAGGGAGCCATGTGGTGGTCCCAGGGCCACTGGTCACTTGGCAGCTCCAGCCTCTTTCTGAAGAGCTGTGGGGCAGCTGAGCCTCACCCCACAGAGTATAGGGACATTCTGAGCTGAGGGCCAGGCCGCCTCGGCCTGTTGTGGTGTTTACATGTTGGACTCAGGGATCCTCCCAGCTGCTTTGCAGGGCCCAGGCTGCCGGACAGAATGGAACTTCCCAGCTGGATGAGGTCAGCTCACTGCCCATTACAGTGCTTAGAAACGAGGGTCCCTGTGGGTAGGAAGAGCCCTGTGGGGGTCCGTGGGCCCACATCTCATATTGGGCCGCTTCGTGCAGCAGAGCAGGACCCTCACCCTGGGTAGCACCCTGTGGCCAGGACAGGCAGCGCCTGTGCTACAACCTTCCCAGAGTGAGGTCTTTGTACTTTCGTGTGGTCCTCCTCGTCCTGGGTGTCAGGGGCAGTGTTCCTGCCCTGAGGCTGATGCCACCCCCCAGGCCTGGGCCCTTCGGGGCAGCACATTGCACTCCTGTGCGAACTCTGCCAAGCCATGGTTCAGGAGACCCCTTTCCCTGGAAAGCCAGAGCACAGACAGGGCCTCAGGGCCTTCATGCCCCACACCCCTCCAGACCCGGCTCCTGAGGTGGGTAGGACCTGTCTTCTGGCCACTCGTAGCTTGGGTGTCCTGGTTGCAGCCCCATTCCATCCTAGGACAGTGCCCAGGGACTTCCCCTGAGCCGCCTGCCCTCAATGGCATCCTCAGGGAAGGGCCAGCTGATACATCCACTGCCCTCCCCACATCCCCACAGGTGGCTATGCCACTACCCTTCTCGGTCAGGCTAATGGGTGGGCAGCCAAGGACACACATTCCTCTATGCCAGCTTCCCTCGAAAGTATGCTGTGAGGGCAGGGCTGGCTGGGGTCTGGAACATGGAGACAGCAGCTGTTCTGGGGCCAGGGACCAACTGGAGTGCTTATCTGCTGTGCAGTGAGCTGGCACTGGGAGCAGTGTGGCTTTAGGGCCCCTGCCCTGTGCAGAACACCATCTTGCGGGGTCTTCACCCTAAAGTCGACTTCTGCGCCAAGGAGTCTGCTTTATTAAACTTTTATTGGTTTGGTGGCTGTGTGCAGCATCTGCTCCCTCTTGTGGGCCTTGGACAGGATAGTTGTGCTGGCCTGCCCCCAGGCATCCACCCAGCCCCCCCCCCGCCCGTGTTCCAGTGGCACTGCCCTGGACTGGCCACCATGACCCACAAGGGGCCACCCCCTGAGGTGTTCCCTCAGTTGTGCTGGAGTTGCAGGAACAGCTGCCCCTCCTGTGAGGCTGGCTGCTGCTCATTCCTGGCTGCCTTTACCCACTCCCAAATGAGGCCAGCCTCCAGCTTGCGCGCCTCGACAACAGATGCAGGGTCCTCTGGGTGAGACGCTCTGCAGAGGAGCAAGGGTCCACTGAGAATGGTAGAGGTCCCGAGCCCATCCCACCTAGCCCAGCTGAGGGGCCACTCCACTGACCTGAGGTCCAGGTGATGGGCTCCACCCTGGATCATGACCGCAATCACAGACTCACTAAGGTTCCTGTGTATCTGTAGGCAGCAAGAGGACCTTCACATCAGGTGGGCCCACTACAACCCCCACTCAGGGTGCAGCCAAAGCAATAAATCAGGCCAAGTGTGAAGCCTTGGGAGCCCCAGTGGGAAGGAAAGGTCACAGAGTCAGACCTGAGTCCACAGTAGTTGACTGAAAACAGGAGAGGAAATCAAGAGGCTCAGAGCCAAATGGTAAGGACCAAGGACAAGTAGGCAAAGGCAAAGCGGACTTGATGGAGTCTGGCAGGGAAACCCACCCAGGACCCCTGAGACGCCCCTCCCCCCCAGCCAAGACTCACCCCACCGCCAGCCCAGGGATCCAGGTCACCGTTGGAGAAAATGATTTTGGTGGCACCCTTGAGGTCTAAAAGGGACACAGCAAAGACAATAAGGGGCTGGTGTATGCCCAGAGCTGAATGTGGGGTAGTACAGGCCCCAGCCTTACCGCCACCCCCGAAGCTGGTCTGCAGCCAGTTGGGCCGGGGCCACACGCCCCACTTTTCCAGGCAGTACTGCTCTCGGAGCTCCTCGGTGAACAGGAGGGTGGGGAACATGTCGCTCACATTGTTGCTGCTGAATGTCAGGTTAATCTCTGTGCAGGCCTGAGGGTACCATGTCAGGTCAGGTGACAAGATACTCCCCCACCCACCCTGCCAGCCCAGGTCACACAGGCCCACCTGGTAGTCCCAGGCCTGGGCATCAGAGCCTGAGCCACAGCCAGTAGGGTCAGCACAGCTGTGGTACAGCTGGTAGATGTCATAACAGTGCTCCATGCCTGAGGTGTTGTAGATCATCCCTGGGGAGGAAGGAGGGGTATGGGACAACGGCCACCAAATTGTCCCCTTTGGGGTGGGCTCCCTCCCCTGATGTATCTGTGAGGAAGTCTACTGGTCTCTGCCATCAGCTATGACCTGATACCCTCCTGCTGGACAGGGTGGCCCGCTGCACTCCATCCCTACCCACCGTCCTGAGCCCAGGCAGCCGGGAGCAGCTAGGGGGCTCTCAAAAGCCTGGGCCAGGGCTGCAGGCCCTTGCCTGCTAATGCCAGTGGCCCATACTCGTCCCATGTACAACCGACCCACCTGCCAGCATTCGGAGCCCTGTGATCGGCTGGGCCTCATTCAGCAGTATATCACAGCCAACCTGGGTTGAAGGAACCACAGTGTGCTTCAGCCATGGAGCCAGCCAGCTCCACGCTCACTGGTCCCAGGAGTGGGGCAGAGGCTGTGGACCCTCGGGACACAGTGGGAAAAGTGGCCCAGAGCCCGGGGCCCAGCCTGTGGCAGCCTCCCCAGGGAAGGGACCTTACCTTGACAGGGTTGGCGGGCAGAGGAACCAGGAAATCAGTATGGTATGGGTAGTCCATCATGGCCAGCACGGTGAAGGCGTTCCGAGCAAACATGAAGAGCTGTGTCAAGTCCTCCGAGCCCGAGAGTAACTGACAGGTCCCAAACTCCCGACTAATCCGCTCATGGGCTGCAGTGGAGGGGCAAGGGTTTGAAGCTGTAGACAGATGTGGGACAGAAGGTGCAGGATCCGGGTGTGGGTGTGGGTGTGGGTGGGCCCGCCTCCTACCTCCCTGCAGATACAGGTTCCGGATCTCCTGGAAGGCCTCGCGCACAGCCTGGACACACTTGGGGCTCTGGCTATAGAAGTCCTAGAGAGGATGCAGCAGTTGTTACAGCGCCCAGCTGGGCTGGCCTGGGGGACCCCCAGAACCCCACTCACCGCTGTGACATCACGGAAGAACTGATAGGAGTCGACAAGGCCTGCGACAGCTACCACGGGTGCACTGGCCGCTAGTGCACCTGCCACCAGGTGGGGGTACTTTATCCTCATGTAGGCGCTGAGCATCCCGCCGTAGCTGGCCAACGGAAGACACTATGAGGCGCCAACCCAAGCTGCCCTGGGGGCTGAGGGTTCTAGGACCCACTTACTCTTTCCTGCCTCAGAGGCCGCAGACCAGCCCTGGAGCTCCAAGGAGTCAGGGAGGCAAAGTGCCTCTCCGGCCCCAGGGCAACGAGGACCCACCTCCCTCCGAAGGTGATGGTTGGGCTGTCCTGGGCACAGAGGTCTTGCCGCAGGACCTGCAGCAACACGGCGAAGTCGGCCAGCGCCTGCTCCACAGTCAGCAGCTGCATGAACCCATGCTGGGTGGACTGGGCACCAAACGGGAGCGACTTCCCATAGTACCGCTGCGGGTGGGAAGGAAGGACAGCTGAACCCCTCCCCCACCCGCACACCAGCCCTGGTTCCTAGGAAGGCCGGTACCCACGTGCTCCGCAAAGATAAGCAGGGCCTCCTGCTGCTGTGCCAGCTCCACCAGGAAGCCTGAGTTGTTAGCAAAGACCCACACGTCGCCCTCATTTCCGGTGTAGAAGAAGATGGGGCCCTTGGGCTGCTTCCAGAACTTGTCTGTGGGAGGTGGGGTGATGGTGGTGAGGCCAGAGCCGCAGGGCACCGGTCGGGGACAGGAGCTATGGGCCCCGGGGGATAGCCCACCTGACATCAGGAAACGTTGGTGGAAAGTCTTGTTGCCATAACTTTCAAAGTTGAAGTGGTCCAGGAGCTGTTCAAAGTAGTACTCCCGGTACTCAGGGTCAGTGCTGTGCTGGCCAGAGGGCTGATCGGCTCCAAGACTGAGCAGCATCAGGCCCAGCAGCAAGACAGAGGGAGTAGTCCTGCGGTACACCACGTCCCTGTACTGGGAACCCATTCTAGCTCTGTAAACCGGCACTGTGGTCACGTGAATCTGGTCACGTGACCAGGGATGCCTTGTAATAGCCTGGGTGCGGCTAGTCCTGAATCTCGCTGGAGACCAAATAGCTGCCAGCCTCTTCCTCCCACTAGTCCCTTTCTTAAGACCTCAAGGTTCCTAGGCGCTGATTATGTCCTCATGGAGACTATCACCATGGAGACCCAGGAATTCCATGGAGGGCTCAGGGAATTTTCAGGGAAGCCAAGGTCTCTGAGGCCCCAGCCCCACACCCTACCGCCCAGCTCCTCAGTTCATCCTCACCTGGCCCCGACATGGCACAGCCCCAGGAATAGCTGTCTGCTCTCAGCACTTTTTTTCCTGGCTTCACTGCCAGCCCCATGACAGGCAGGGCCTGGCTGTCCAGAGTCCTTGAAGCGGGGGGGGGACCAAGGCCAGTGATTCTAAGAAGGGGTGCCAGGCTTTTCCAAGTAGTGGCACATCCCCTGGAGTACAGGCAGGGGAGAGTGTAGCACCTGTGCCCCCAACCAAAGGGACTAGGGTCTGAGCCTCTGCCTGGAGTTGACCCTACATGATGGGGAAGGAAGTGGCCAGGCCAAGACTTTGTGACAGACCAAGTAACCTGTAGCCAACTCAGCACATTGGGCTGTGTCCATCTCAGTGGTGGCTGTCCTACAGGAACACAGGCAAGATCTAGGACCCCTGCAGCTGTGGAAGAAGGTGACAGCTCACCTGACCTGAAACCATCCCTGGCAGTGCAGCTCCCCTGAGGCTGTGGGTGAGGGAAGACTGACCCTTTCGCCCCCAACTGTCTCCAGGCCATGGTCCCAGCGTGGTGACAGTGAGTGTTAGGGACGTGGTCGGCTTGAGACCACTGCATGACATCAGCATCCCTGTCAGTACCCACTCCATCCGCAAGAGGGGGTCCTGAGCCACAGCACTGCATAATCCCTGTCCTGGGGCTCTGGGTGCCCTGCCCCTCACTCAGTCACCCAGGGCAGAGTCCCCAAGCATTGGTGTGCCAAGCAAGCCTTACCCTGCTGCAGGTGCAGAGCTTTGAGGGCCTCTGTGTGGCCCAGAGGCAGGCCGGGTGGGCACGTACACCTGCAGACCAGCAGGGCATGAGCCTGGTGTCTGTGGAGGACACAGCTCTGAGCCACCCGTCCACAAGGACCACCTGATCCCTGCTCCACATCACTGGGCCGCCCCATGCCTGACCCCTTGAGACCACTGAAGGTGCCCAGCCCCTGGCCGCCAAGTCTCTGCTCCAAGACCTGGAAGCTGCTGGTGTTTTTTTGTTTTTGTTTTTTGTCTTTTTCTTTTTTATCAGTACTGGGGATCAAACTCATGACCACACACTTACAAGGCAGGCACTTATGCTACTGAGCTAAATCCCCAGCCCCAAGCTGCTGGCTCTTGTATACACTACTGTCACACAGATCCAGGCTGTGGCACCAGTCCTGGGGGCACCCACATCCTTGGGGTTGGGCTGGTTTATGTGGTGAACTATGCACAATAGAAAATTCAGCATGCCACCACACAGAGGCTGAGGTGGGAGGGTCGCCATGAGTTGGAGGCCAGCCTTGGCTATATAGTGAGTCCAAGCCAGCCTGAACTGCATAACGAAACTCTCTCTCTTTTTTTTTTTTTTTTTGGTGCTGGGAATTGAACTCACGACCTCACACTTGCCAGGCAGGTGCTTATGTCACTGAGCTAAATCCCCGGCCCTTACAAAACCCTGTCTCAAAACAAAGCAACAAAAAAAACTTACCATTTAACCACACTGAGGCACTGCACACATTCACAATATGTGTGCTACCCACACCACGTGCCCCAAACTATCTCATCGCTCCCAAAGAGAACTTGTTCCCACAGAACAGGGACCATCCCCCACCCAGGCCATCATTCAGGCAGCCTCAAGATCTTGCCTGTTCTAGGGGTGTGGTGAAAGCTGAGCCACACAACTCCCACCCCTCTGTGTGGCAACCATGCCTGGCAGGAGGCCTAAGGTCACCCCAGGGTAGTGCAAACACAGCCGACACCGGGCTGCTGCCACTCACTGGCTCTTAAGGAACGTACTGCTGGGAACACAGGTGCACATACACCTGTGCAAGTCCCCACCCTCATGTCCTTTCTGCAGATACAGAGGTGGGTTTGCAGCACAGCATCCACAATCCACTCTCGGCTTTCCCAGCACCAGGGCACAGTTTTTGCAGTGACCTCCCACAGTGCCACACCCCAACATGCTGTGGGTCTGCATGCCCTCAGCAAGGCCTGCTTCTAAAGTCTCATCTTTTTCCTTGGCAGAACCAGGGATCTAACTCAGAGCCTTGTGCATGCCTGGCAAGTTCTCTACCACTGAGCCCCAGCACAGCCTTCTTAAAATTTTGACCCAGGTCTGGCAGAATGTGAGCTCTCAGTCTTCCTGCCCCAGTTCCTGCAGGGCCAGAGTGCTGCCCTCCAGCCAGGCCACAGACTTCCATACAGCTGTCCAGGGTTCATAGAAAGAATCCTGCAATCCCTGGGATGTGGCTCTGGGCTGACCCAACTGTGTGTCTCCCCAATGGCACTGTCTAAGCCATCAACCGAGAGGACTATGAACCCCTGACGGGTTGCCAAACAGGGTGTGTCACTCCTGCTAAGGGACCCTGGGCGCAGCACAACAGGTGGGACTTTTACAACTGGCAGACTTGGGGTGTTTGCTGTCCCTGCCACTGAAGAGTCCACACTTTCTGCAGGACAGTGCTGTGCCAATCTCACTGTCCTTCAGGACAACAACACTGGGCCTAGAGAGCCAGGAAGACAGCTGGTGGGAAGAAATCAGGTTTCATTCATGAGCAGGACCTCAGGAAATAGCAAGGCTGTCATCCTCAAAGCTCCACCCTGGAGAACTCTGAGGACACAAAGGGCTCAATGCAGGGAGGTGGCCACCACAGGTGACACCCTGGGCCTCATGCAGTGTTAATCAAGTGCTCTACCACCAACCACATGCTCAGCCCTTCTTATTTTTGACACAGGGTTTTTTCCAGGCTGGCTTTCAGTTTGACCCTCACGCCTCAGCCACCCTTCACTGGGAATTCAAGAGTTTGTCACTGTACCCAAGGGCTTTGACAAGAAAGGAAAAGCACAAAGGAGAGTGCATGGGAGCCACACATCCCAGCTCCAGATCCGCCTCTGGCCCTCTAGATGTGAGGACTTCCTTACAGTCATCACAGATCTCCTAGGTGGCCCCCATGCCAACCAAACACATGATTTCCCCCGTGTTAAACGGGACTCTACCTTACAAGAATGTAATTAGGACGACCTTGGCCTACATGTGGACATTATTGTTATAGCCTATTTCTAACCATTGTGCCTCATTCCTGTTCTGTATGCGCCGCTTGGCCCCCTCCCTCCCTTCCTATCTTTCTAGGTTAAGTTTCTATTTCCTGAGAAAGCTGTAAAAGCCTTAGGTTTCAGTTTCCTGTAACACCCACCCCTACCCCTCATCTGGCTATCTGTAATAAAATGTGCTGTTCTTTAAGAAATGCTATCCTCTGTAAAAATTGTAAAATCTTACCTAATTGATATGTTAACCATTGTTGCCCTCTACAAATAACAGATGTGGCGCTAAAATAAGCTAACAGAGGTTGTTAATTACTGCTAGACTTCTCTGTTCTCTGCTGAGGAAAAAAAGATGTTTGCCCAATCTAAACTTGCTTGTATGCAGGGAGATTTGCTTGTTAGCCCAACCCTTATCTGAACTTTGCTCTTCCCAATGTAATCACCAAGTTCCTGGTCTGTAGTGCGCCACACCCCCACCCCCCTCCTTGCATTGTGAGACCAGCAGCTGTTTGTGGTTTTTACAAGGTAAAAGCCCTGCCTTTTAGCTGTCAGGTGCACAGTCTCCAACTTGGCTCCCGAGGATTGCATTGCCAGACCTGGCCTAAAAAAAAACCTTTGCTCCCTAAATTTTAATTTTCTTGCTTCCTTGGGTTTTATTCCCAGGTCCGAGCTATCACAGTTGTCACCAAATACCTGGGTTCCATAAGTCTAGAGAAAAGTTGTTGACCAGTCAGCTTCCTGATGTGTGTCTTTTCAGTCAGGATGGGACGGAAGGCAGAGAGCAACTCGGGCTGAGGAACACCGCAACTGGTGTGGTAGCTTCCGTCAGAGCTGTCATGTATAGCAAATCGCTCAGCCCTATGGTCTCAGAATTAGTATTTTCAAAAAACCTGTACTTCTCTGCAGAGCTGAGGATGGGTCCCAGGGCTCTGCTGACTTCTAGCCCTGTCCACTTTCTTTCTTCCTTTCTTTTTGATACAGGATCTCATTGAAGCACTAAGTTGGCCAGGCAGGATTCATATTCCTGCCTCATCCTCCCAAGTAGTTTGGGCTACAGGGACCTATCAGTGATTTTGACAGCATGGAAGGGTTTCCAGGAAAGGGGTCCAGCACAAGAGCCACTGCCACACAACCCTCCAGAGGTCAAGGAGATGGTCATGGTGGCTCAGACTTGTGATCCCTAGTGAAGGAATCTGACCTCCGACACCCTATCCTGGGCCGCAGCCTCACGATGAGCGAGCGGAGTGAGCTGTTACACCCTGGAACGGACCTCACTGCTCAGCCCCGCAGCTGATGCAGTGGGGTACCTCCTTGTATGACCAGAGGCACAGTGCCTTTGCACTGACCACCCAGTCCCATCATAATTTTTTCCTTCCGCAGCCCATTTTTATGTTCACGACCCTGCAAGACCCCATGGCCCCTGCAAGTGAGGCGGTCTGGTCTCTAGTGCTAGGATGGTGCCTTTCAGGTTTGTTCAGAAACCTTTTTTTTTTTTTTTTTTTTTGGTATTGGGAATCAAACTCAGGATCTTGCACTTGGCAGGCAGGTGCTTGTGCTGCTGAACTATATATATGCCCAGTCCAATTTTTGTCTTGTTGAGCTCCTACCGCTGCTGCTTTTTCTTTTTGCCCTAACACTCGGAAGACCGAAGCAGGAGGATTGAAAGTTTCGGTCTGCCCTAGGCAGTTAAGTAAAAATAAAGCATTTTTTTTTGGTACCAGGGATCAAACTCATGACCTTATGCTTGCCAAGCAGGCACTTATGCCACTGAGCTACATCCCCAGCCCTAAAAGTAAGGCTTTTAAAAGGCTAAGGACCCTAGGTCTAGGACATAATACTCAGCACATCAAAAAAACAAAACAAACGGCTGTGCACATGCGCGCACGCCCTCAGCTTGCGCCGTCTGCGCCTGCTCAGGTGGTGCGGATCCTGGGCGGTGTCTGGGGAGCCGGCGTGGATGAGGACTTCCAGTCCCGAGGCCTGTGTCCCCGTGGGGCCGGGCCGTATGTGCTCTGGAGTCGGCAGCCGCGCCCATCCCAAGACCCCACAGCGGGCGTTCGCAGGCTCGCCCTGCGCCTGCCCCACGGGGCAGAAACAGAATCTGTGCAGCCCTCCCGCCCCGCTTCCTCCCCTTTCCCTTTCCTTCCGGTCCCATGAAGTGTCCTTGGCTCCTTGCACGCACAGCTCTGCAGCGACCCCACGAGACAGTAGCACCCGAGGGTGCGCGCTCAGGAAGCCTCGCAGTTCCTGACCACTATTGAGAGCTGGAGACGAGCATGAGGGCCTTCCTAGCCTGCCAGGTTAGTCCTGGCCCCCGCCACCCGTTGGTTTGTCAGCAAGGGCGCCTACCAGGGAGGTGTATCAGGGCTCCGCTGTTTATTCCAGGATGTCCCATCTGTGGGAGTGGAGATGGGCAATGATCTTGAAGTCCTTGTGGAGGAGGGACTGGGGTTAGGGATGGTGGGGTATTGGTGTGGGGAGCCCCGAGGGAGAGCCCTGCGGGGGGTGGGAGACAGCCAGGCATGGCCACTGCAGTGCTGGGTGTGCAGACCCAGAGGTCTGTCACAGGCCTGAGCTTGATCATGAAAGATAATGGGTAAGTGCGGAGGCCTGGGCCTGCCTAGTACGCTCTGCAGCTGTGTGAAGACATCATGTTTTAGGCATTTGCTCCCCTGCACACAAGCAAAGCTCAAGCGAGTGCTCAGTCATGGCTGGGAGCACATTGAGAAGGACCCCTGCACAGGCCCACTGTGGGCTTGGGGTCTACTAAGAGAAGGGTGCCAAGGCACACGGCTTCCTCTGAGTTTGCAGCCAGAGGCCTGGCACAGCACAGGGGATGGGCTCCAGTGGCTAGTGTGGGCCTGACACTGCTTTTCTGCCCGTCTGAGCTCATGGACTCCAGGCCACAGGATTAATCCACCGACACCCTCTCCTCATGGGTAAAGTGGTACCCCGTTTGGGCTGTGGCTTGGGGCAGGTGGCACAACGTAACATTCATAGCTGACCTTATATAAGTGGAGAGGGCAGTCTGGTGCCTTCTTGCTGGGAATGCAAGGGAACTAGAGGTGTGGACCCTCAAAGTGACCACAGCAGAGGAGGAGACAGAGCCTGGTCCAGGTGTAGACCCAGGGCCAGGGCTCCAAATACCGAGGCTATTTGCCCAGCACAGGAAGCTCAGGAGGATCTGGAGCACCAAGATTTGCCAAAAGCTGTAGTTAGGCGGCCAAGGAGTTTGTCCCTGTCCAGAGTAACCAGGAGGCCCCAGTATTGGGTTCTTGGGGACAGCCCTGGAATTCAGCAGTCTAACTGCCTGCTAACTGCTGAGACCAAGTCCTTGCGAGAAACAAGTGGAAAGGCAGGCCTGGCTCCTACCAGCTGGCTGCGTGTATGGGCAAAGTGGAGCAACGCCCATGGGCTCAGCTGGGCCAGCAAAGTGAGACCATCAGCCTGTCCCCAGTTGCTGGTCCAGCTGCCCAGGAGGGAGGGGCCGGTCTTAATTGCCTTGGGCAAGGTGACCAGAGATTTGCACCTGGGCTGCCAGGGTTCTGCCCCTTCTTTTTTTTTTTTTTTTTTTTTTGTCTTTTTGAGACAGGGTCTCACTATGCAGTTTAGGCTGGCCTTGAGCTCACTTTGTAGCCCAGGCTGGTCTCGAACTCACAAGGATCCTCCTGCCTCCGTCTCCCAAGTGCTGGGATTATAGACATGAGCCACCATGACCGGCTGCTGTGCCCCTTCTTGTCCTCTGCAGAGGACACCAGGCCCTGAGACCCCGGGCTGGCTCCCCCCAACAAAGCTCCTCTCCCACACTCCCACTCTCTGAACCCTTCACCTCCCACTGAGTCCCAAAGTCAGAAATGTAGCCAAAGGGCCCACACCAGACTGGCCGATGCATGTATGTCTGTGAGTGACAGGAAGTCTACCCTTGTGGAGTGCGCTGGCCGTTCCGATCTGAGTTTGCATGCTAGAGACATGCACCAGCGCCAGAGCCAGGGCTCTGTGCCCACCTGAGGCCCCAAATGCTGCTGGCAGTCTCGGAGCAGGTCAGGCCTCCTGTGACCTTAGCACCCTGGCCTGGTCCTTGTCCAGGATGAATGGGGACCGGAGCTCTCGGCCTTGCAGATAGGCCTCCAAACCCTGGGAACAGGCAAGATGGCACAGCTGGGATCCCACAGCAACCCCGGGGCAGGATCACAGCTCTGCCTGGAGGCACAGTCAATGGAGGGCAGATGTCCGTCCCCACAAGATTCAGGCAAAACCTGCCTGTTCTGCGCCTGGCCTCAGGCATGGAGTGTCCTGCCACCCCCTCAGGATACCTCGTTCCACCTGCATCCTTGAAGGTCCTCTGTAATTCTAAGGGACCATTACCCCCACTGGTAAACTGAGGCAGGGTTGTGCTTTGTCTACCCCAGCATCCACCTCTCCCAAGCCTTTCCCTCGTGCATGGAAGCCAGACCCTCAGAAAACCCCAGAGCCCTGGGACAGGTGACTCTCACCTCTCCTGAGTAAGACACTAAGGGTGAAATCTCGCAAATGGCTGGAGGATCTCCATCCTGGGGCAAGCTGTGGAAAATGTGCTGGTCAGCAATTGGTTCTTGGGGACTGAGCCACCCCAGTACACCCACAACCACCCTTCTGGCCCCTTCTCTGTGAGCTCTTCTCCTGGGCCATGTCCTGTCCATGGTAGGATCTGGTCTGGGCTACGAGTGTAGGGCACCCAGTGCAAAGCCCAGACAGCCAGGCCCAACAGTCACCCCAGGGAACACAGGAGACAGAAGGCGCATGTCTGTTTCCTTCTAGCCCCAAGCCAAGCAACCCTGCTTCTTACTGAGGATCACGGCTAGCCAAGCCTCAGTTTCAAAGTTTATGACTAAGTTTGGGGCTTTGGCGCCAGCCCCCAGCTCCGAGCAGAACTTGAGGGATCAGGCTGAGAGGCAGAGCTGAACTGAACTGAGGTCCCGGTGCAGCTGGGGCTGACCAGACTCATGTCCACCTGTGTTTGGTGTGGTGCACAGGGGCAGCATGGCAGGGGTCCTGACCACCACCCCAGGGCTGGGTACTGACAGCCTTTCTACAGGACACACCTGGGCCCACTCACCCATGATGCTCAGGAAGCTGGTCCCCACGTGCATCCAAAAAGCGGGCCCCAGCTTGCAGCGCCCATTGGTGGTGCTGCCTGAGCAGGGCCCGCCTGGCCGTGGAAGGGTTGTCTCTGGCTGCAGTGTCAGCATTCTTCAGTGGGGAAAACTCTTCCTCCCGAGACACTTCAAAGGCAACAAAATTCCTGGCAGGAGAAGGGCGGCTCACTGCGTGTCCCAAGGGGTGGCCTAGTATTGGGCAGGCCAGGCCAGCCAGGTTCACAGGTCCAGGAGGGGCCCACAGGTACTCAGCAGCCATGGTAGCCTCAGGCTCTCCCTTCCCTGCCCACCAGTTGAGAGCCAGGCTGAGGGAGAGCCGCAGGTGCTAAGCCCTGGGGGAAGGGCGGTGGAGGGGACCCTAGCATCCTTCTGTGGCCTCAGCTGCCCATGCTCCCACCAGCAGATTCCACTTCCTCTGGAAACAAGAGTGCCCTCCCAGCCCGATTCAGCACTACCAGGCTGGGGCTCAGCCCCCACCACCAGGACAGAGTGAAGGAAGAAGGAAAAAAATAAGTGACTTCTACCACTAACTTAGCAAACTGGAACACATCAAACACAAACTTCTCCATCTTTATCCCATTCGGTTTTAGCGGCTTTACCAGATTTCCCTCCTCGTCTATGTATGGGACCTTCTTCACGGCCACATGTGGCTTCAGCAATGGCTCAAAGTCCCTGGAGCAGAGGAGAAGAAGGTTCAGGCAAGGAGCAGAGGCCAGGCAGGGCAGGCTGGCAGGTGGACACCATGGGACACAGGTCTCCTCCTGCACCCCCAGTACTGAGAACCACATGCTGTCAGCTATGCCCTGCCGGTTGTGTGGAAACCGGCAAACCCAGGGATGGAGCCGGGCCAGTGGGCTCAGGGCCAGGTCATGAAAGGCAGATGCCAGCAGGGTGTGACCACATCACATCTCCAGGGCCTCCGCTGGTCATTTCTCCTAACCTGTCCACCACTTTCCACCTCAGCCCTATCTCGGCCCACTGTCTTCCAGCTGCTATGGCCAGCCCTTGGCCAGCGCAGGCGGCCCTGGCTGACATCTCGAAGCCCTCTGTTGTCACACCTGGTGACCCTCTGCAGGAAGCCTCGGGTGAAGAAGTGGTTGCAGATGTTACCCGCGCTGTAGAGCAGGCCCCCGTCAGCCCCAAGCAGCCCTGCAGTCTCAGGGCTGATCTCGCTGTACTCCACCACTTGGGGGACACCGTCCACCTGGCACACCACGCCCACAGGCTCCTCTGGGTAGGCTTTTTTCACCACCTGCGCCCACCAGGGAGAGTTGAGTGTCAGGCTGGTAGTGCAGGACAGGGGACAGGACTTGTGGGGACAGGGACCAGGCAAGACAGGGGCGGGGCTCCATGTGGGCGTGACCTAAGGGAAGAGGCACAGTAGTGATGGAGCCCACCACGTACGGGGGCGGGACCGAGGAAGGAGCCCGGTTTGAGAAAGGCAGGCGAGGCCTACAGAAGGTGGGGCTGGCTCTGCTGCTAGACAGGGCTTCCATTGAGCTTGATCTATAGGGATGGGATTCTCTGGGGTCTACAACCGAGGGGGGGGGTTCGTCATGGGCGTGGTCTCAAGTCTTGCGGGCGGGGCTCCACACTCACCTTGGCACCACAGTCTGCGCCCCGCAGCACGCAAAAGCCGATGAAGACTGGGTCAGCCAGCCGCACTAAGATGTTGTCCACACAGTACACGTGCACAAACTCCACCCCTCGGCGCTCCATGTCCTCCAGGACCTGGTAGTCCGCCAGGGCGCGGTACAGGCCCCCGTTGCCATCTGCAGAGCAACACAGAGATGGGCCTTGCCGCAGAGCAAAGCCTGTAAAGGCCTGTTTTGACCCTCACTGTCCAGACAGCCTGATGGTTATACCAGAGAGAGAGGGCAGGTGACCAGCTCACATCTAGCCTGGGACTCAGACATCCTGACTCCTGCGCACTCTGAGCTCCTGGTTAGGTACCCCGTCTCGCGGTGGCCTACCTGGGGCCATGGCAACCTTGTCTTTTCGCTCCAGGATGGCTTTGCCGTCGAAGGTCACGGCGGGTAGCATGCGTTGCTCGAACAGGACCACATTGGCAGGGTCCAGGTGAAAGAAGCCATGCTCGTTGAAGAACTTGGCCGTGGGCCCCAGTGTAAACTCGCTGGTCATGATGTACCTGGCAGGGAGGGACATTGGTGAGCCTCCTTCAGGGGCCTGGCGAAGGCACAGTCTGGGAAGTACTAAGTGGGGTCTGGTGGGCAGAAGGACACACCAGGGCACCGTGCAGCGGGTCCCGTGGCGCTCGCCAGCCAGCTGCTCCACACGTCGAATCCGCTCGGCCTGCAGCTGATACAGAGTCTTCCCGCTGGGCAGCCCCACTTGGTACATGCCCTTGGGGTAGGTGACCCCCAGGCGAGTGCCCTGCCCGCCGGCCAGCAGCAGCACAGCCACCTTGTTCAGGGCGATCTGACGAAAACCTGGGCGGGGCGGGGAGTGGAGTGGCCACCGTGAGGGGACGCATGGGTGCAGGACGAGCAGCTTTCTCCGGGAGCAGTAGGCCAGCCAACCCAGGGCCCCTCCCGCAACCAGGCCACCGCGCCGCCCACCTTCCTCCTCCCAGCGCCGCCGCGTCTCGGGGTCGTCGCGGCACACACTGCCTACGCTCTTGGAGGACAGAGGCCGCAGGCGCTCAGCCAGGCCGGGTGTGGGGCCTGGAGCGCGCGCGCAGGCCTCTGCTGCAGAGGCGCAGTGCTCGCGTAGCGTGTCGGGATCCAGAAGGGCCAACTCAGCCAACAGCGCGGCGCGCGGCCCGGGGTCCAGCTCGGCCCAGAAACGCAGCAGGTGGCTCTGGCCCGCGCGCTGCAGCCTGGCGCGCACATCCGCCTCGGAGGCCATGTCGCTGTCGCCACGCGCTCAGCTGGCACTCGTGACCCGCACGCGCAGTCTGATCGACTAGCGTCACGAGATCCAGAGGGCTGGCCTAGCCCACCCCCCCTCTACCCGGCCGGTCCAGTCTGGCCCCGCCCCGCCCCGTCCCCATCCGGCTTCGGGCTACGTCTCCTCCGGCTGAGTCCCCTCTATCCCCGCCCCTGGGACAGCCCTGGCCGGTCCCAGGACGCCCCGCCTCTGTCCCACCCCTGGTTGGGTCCCCAGCCCCTTAAGCATCCCGCCCCCAGGAGCTGGGGGTCCTCAGGTTAGCGCAGAGGGAACAAAACATTGGACAGCCGGAGGGGAGAGTGTGGAGGTCCGGGAGCTGGACACCCCGCTGGGGTTTTGAGCCTCGGTCTGGACCTGCATAAGGTTTGCCCAGCCCTCTGCCCATCTTGCCCTTCCGCAGTCACGAGGGTCGGTCCTTGCCAGGGTTTGGGCATGAGTTCACCAAGTGGGCCCCAGACCGCCCGGGCTGTCTGGGGATTGAGGGAGGCCAGATCTGAGGCCGGCTATGGGCGAGGTGGGCCGGTATCTTAACTATCTACCAGATTTCACAACACACTGCTTTCTATAAAGTCACCTGTGAAAACTATGAAACCATAGCTTTGGCTGTTTGGGGACAAACTTTCCTTTAGCAACTAGTTTTGTTAAATCTGAAAATAACATGCAAACATCTGTTTAAAATCCACATGGTGGGCTGGGGATTTAGCTCAGTGGCATAACCACCTGCCTTGCAAGCAGGTGGTCGTGAGTTCGATCACAGGTACCGATAAAAAAAAAGAAAAGAAAAAAATACCACATGGTAAGCTGGGTGTGGTAGCACATACATGCAACCTCAACATTTGGAAGGCTGAGGCAGAGGATCACTTCAAGTTTGAGGTCAGCCAGGGCTACAAAGAGAGGTCAAGGCCAGCCTTGGGACCTATCTCAAAAAGACCAAAAAGCCCGGCGTGGTGGCTCCCGCCTGTAATCCCAGCACTTGGGAGGCTGAGGCAGAGTTCGAGACCAGTCTAGGCTACAAAGTGAGCTCAAGGCCAGCCTGAACTGCACAGGGAGACCCTGTCTCCTTTTTTTTTTTTTTTGTCTTTTTTTTCTTTTTAATCGGTACCAGGGATCGACTCACGACTGCCTGCTTGCAAGGCAGGTGCTTATGCTGCTGAGCTAAATCCTCAGCGCCAGAGACCCTGTCTCAAAAAGGAAAAAAGGAAAAGAAAAGAAAAAGACCAAAAAAAAAAAAAGAGCCGGGTGTGGTGGCTCACGTCTGTAATCCCAGCTGAGGTGGAGACCAGCCTGGGCTACAAAGTGAGCTCAAGGCCAGCCTGAACTGCATAGCGAGACCCTGTCTCAAAAAAAAAAAAAAAAAAAAAAAATCACATGGTGCTGATTGTGGTTGCTCATACCTGTAATCTCATCACTTGGGAGGCTGAAGCAGGAAGATCACTGTGAGTTCAAGGCCAGCCTGGACTACATAATGAGACCCTGTCTGAAAAAAAATAAAATAAGTAAATATGGTGCTGCCAGGCAGTGTGGCACACACCTGTAATCCCAGCACTTGGGAGACTGAGTCAGAAGAAACACCAGCAGTTTGAAACCAGGCAGGGCTACATAGTGAGTTCAAGACCAGCCTAAATGATATAATGAGAGGTTACCTCAAAAAACAAAACAAAAACAAAATAGCAAATCCACGTGGTGCTTTAGGACCCAGAATGATAATAACATCTCCTGCAGGTCTGCCCTGTTAAGACAATGCCTCTTCATGGGCAGGTCCCTGACACACCTCCTCAAGGAAGAAGGGCAGCTTCACAGGCCAGCCAAGGCCACTTCCTCCCCAAAAACTTCTGTGTTCTGCTGCCTTTCTGTGTTCCCTGCCACCTGGTCCCCCACAAAGGTCACAAACACAAAGATGGCTGCTATTTGGTTCATTATTTTCCCTGCTGCCTGAACCCAAACCTAGCATCAACACAACTGGGTCACCAAGATTTTCCAGGGATGGAGTCTCTCCTGCTTCCACAGTTGGTGCAATGAGGATGGTGGGGGCACCCTGTGAGGTGGAGGGCAGGGAACCACGAGACCATAGTCAACAGCAGTCCTCATTGCCCCTGCAGGGCTGGGCAGGTGAACCCCAAGACCTGCTTCAAGGTAATGTGGGGCCAGGACCAGCAGGTTTGAAAAGGATTTGTGTAGCCAGAGGCACCTGAAGGACTACATAAACCTGTTCTGGCAGGAGGGGACAGGTGGGAAGTGGGACAACTGCCAATCAGTCTCCTGCCCTTTGCCTTAGGGCCTTGTTCAAGGGGCTGGGGATTGGTGTGCAGAAACCAAGGGTGGAGACCAAGGAGATCAGAAACATCAGGGATTGAGCAGACTTGGTCCCTCTCTCCATGTCCAGGGCAAGGGCTACTTTGTGACATGAGTCTTGCCTATCTCTTCTCAAGGACCTCTGGCTGGCACAGCAAAAATTTAACTAAAACCGGGACAGGTACCTTGAGAGTCTAGGGGCTGCCTAGACTAAGTGGTCTGAGCCCTGGAAGCTCGAAGGGGACTGAAAACTTCAGGATTGGGAATGTCAGGCCAGGCTGGGAAGCAGAGGCAAAGAGAAAGTGGTCAGAGGTCAGGCTGGGAATGATGTGCAGCAATGCCTACATTCCCCACCCAAAAGCAGTCGACTCTGTGCTCCTCCACGCCCTCCAGGGCCAGCCATACAAGCTCACAGACTGTGCACTTGGGCTCACCAGGGCCCTGGCTGGCCCAGCACTGCCTCTGGCAGTGCTACCTTCACCACTGGCAGCCTCTACATTCCCACTGGCCTGCATGCCTGCCCACAGGCCTCAATGTACCTCAGTGTCCACCCAAGGATGGCACTACCACTGTGATCTCTCCTGGTCACAGTCATCCGAGAGTACTCATGGTGGGTCATGCCCATGCCAGGCCGAGGTGTGCCTTCCTGCCCCAAAACAGCACAAAGAGTCACAGGGAAACAGCTCCCTTATCCTGGCATCTCAAGTCATCGGGAATCTGACCAGACTTTGGGGGTAAGGGTGGGGGACTGGGTACTTTGGCAAGTGGAAGGAAGCACAGAGATGAGCTGGGAGTAGAGAAAAAGTACCAGGACCCAGAGGTGAGGGAAGACAAGTGTCCAAGGCCTGAAGCAACGAAGGGAGTGAGACTGCAGAGGCTTGTGGCTGGCCTGTCTCTGTGGGAAGCCAGGGAAGGGCTCCTGTGACCGAGCTTCACAGGGCACTCTGGGCACAGCACAGGCCTTTTTAGCCCTCCACCTGCACTGCCAAAATTGCCATCACGGCCCTGACTCAGTGAGTGGGAGAGTGCTCAGCAGTGCTGGCCAAGGCAGCTGTCCTGGAAGGCTGAGATACACAACTGGGTGCCTCAGGGCTGAGGACACAGTGACCAGGAGGCAGTACTGAGCCTCCCGAGCTCAGGCTGGAGGGAGGCCAGAGAGGGGCTCGAGAACAGACAGTGTCTTCAGAAGGCAGAAGCCTTGTGGGCACCGCTGTAGTGTTTGGAAGTTGGGACAATGGTTTTGGGGATGGGTGGACTCAGGGAAGAGCAGGGAGGACAGGCACAGGTGGAGAAATGCCCTGAACTCCAACCTGGCTTCTGGGGGTTCTTGGGCCAGTGGTGAGATGGGTTTCTGGAGCCAGGACACAGGCTAAGGCCTGGGTCGATCACCTAGGCTTCCCAGGAGGGGTAGAGCAGAACCTGCTGGAAATGAAGCAGAGGCCCTGGGGCTGTGGGCTGTGAGAGCCAGGGCAGCTGGAGGAGACGGAGAGCCAAGGGAGTCGGTCACCGGATGGGCATCTGGGGACACAGGAGAAAGTGGTTTTGTCCTGCAGCCAGCAAGGCCAGGCCAGGCCAGATTGTCCCATGGGGCTTCAATGAGCACAGAGAGGCCTCTGTGAGGGGAGCCCAGCTGACTGGAGCCAGGGATCCTCTGGAGGCCAGCCTGGTGCAGAAGGGGGAACTGCCTCAACTGATGCCTGTGGCCAGGAGACCCCAGGGAGCTGGGAGTAAAAGATAGGACTCAAGAGGAACTGCACCCTCTCATCCCTACCCACGAGGCCACCTAGGGACAGGTTCCCTGCAGGGCGCCAGGTCCCACGGATGGGGTGACAGGCAGGAGGAAGGGCTAGTGAGCATGAAGGCGGAAGGAGGAGCCACGAGGGAGCGGGGGTGGGGTCTATATGTGTACGAGGCTAAAGCGCTGGCAGGCTCCGCCCCATGCAGGCCGTGCAGGAGATACCGCGCAGGTTCCTGGGCAGGAAAAAAAATCAAACCAGGGGCCGGCGGCCCTCCAGCCAATCCGGAGCAGAGGAGCCCGCTTCGGCCAGCCAATGGCCGCCGTGCATGCTAAAGAGAGCCGCCGCCGCCAAGAAGGCTTCATTCAAAAGTAGCTGCTATTGTCTGCCGGTTACGTATCTGGCCTGTCCCGCAGTGGGTCCACGCGGGGACTAATCCCGGCGCCCATGGCTCGGGCCGCGACGGCCGAGCGGGGCCGCTGGCCTCCCGCCGCGCCCGCGCCAGGCACCGAAGGCCTGCCGCGCGCCTTCTTGCAGAGCCTGCGCACGCTGTTCGACATCCTGGACGACCGGCGGCGGGGCTACGTGCACCTGCGCGAGATCGAGTCCCGCTGGCAGGGCGCCGACGCGCGCGAGCTGCCCCGCGGCGTGCTCGAGGGCCTGCGCCGTGCCGCCCCCGCCAGCGGTTATCTCACCTTCGAGCGTTTCGTGGCCGGGCTGCGCACTTCATTGCCTGGCGCCGACGACGGCCCGCGGGATCCCGCGCGCTCCTCGGCCCGGCCGGGGGACTCGCGGAAACCCCTGCCTCCAGGCCCGCGCCCCGCGCCGCCTCAGAGTCCCGAGCCGCCCAGCGGCCCTGTGGAGGCGGCACCCTGCCCTGCAGAGTCCGCGCGGCCCCAGAGCGCGGCGCTGGAGAGGAGTCCGAGTGCGGATGCGGGTGAGTGCCGGCCGCCTTGCCCACGGGGAACAGAGACGGGGTCCATCTCGCCCAAGGGGAAGGGGATAATAGCTGGAGTCCTGGGAGAAGCATGGAGATTCAGCTAGTGCAGGTGTGCTCTGACTCTGGGGCCCTAGGAGGCCACTGGCACCCATGGGCGGGAGGGTGATTCCAGTCCCCCACTAGGAACCCACTCTGCGAAGCCAAGCAGGGCACCGTGACCCTGCCCAGTTTGAGGGAGGGCACCCTACCACCTGGGCACACCTGGCTCTTGGCCTCATCTCTGACTGTGCCACCAGCCATGTGTCCCTTAAGCAGCCAGAGTTCCCAAGAGTATAGCCCTGGGGTGCTTCTCTGCCTGAGACCTCAGCCCAGAGGGCCAGGCAGATGGGAGCTATGGGAGGGTGGCCTGGAAGCACCTGGTCACTGGGTCAGGCCCAGAAAGAACAAGGTGTGAGTTGGTGGGGCTATCTGTACTATTCGCAGGGCTGGGCTGCAGCAGATCCACCAAGGGACACATGTTCTCTGGGGACATCCTGCAGGCTCCTTTCCTAGCTTCTGTCCAGTGGACAAGAACAAGAGATTGCTGAGTGACCCCCATCTGTGCCCACCCCCTGGCTAGGGAATAGGACCTACATTATGGCTGGAGTTGGGCACCGAGGCCTCCCCAACCCCTCAGCCCACTCAGCCTGTCTTCAGCCTTGCCAGGTGCAGCCTGTCCACCAGACAGCTGTCAGTCCCGTTCCTGCTGCCCATTGCTCTGTTAGCCCAGCCAGGCCCCCCTCTAGCCCTTTAACTGGTGCTTGCAGCTGCTGGCACCCTGGCCTCCCTGGGGAACTGATCCAGCAGCCCAATGAGGCTCTCCATGCACCTGCCAGCCCTGTCTCCCTATCCGTAGGGTAGGGGAGGCTCTTGGGTGTAGCTGGTTCCAAATATGAGGTCCTTGTCATCCACAAGGCTGGCAGTTTGAAGTTGGCCCCACACCCTGTGCTGGCCCACTCCTGGGCAGCATTTACATGTGTGGCACTGTAGGCTGCAGGCCACGTCTGGCTGCGCTTTTCCCAGTCAAACCCAGCCCAGACAAGGGGTAAGATTTGCTTGATTGACAGCTGCCTTTTGGGGTGCCAAATCATAAGGCCACGAGGATGAGCATGGCCATCTGAGGCCAAGGCTTCCTCTTACAGACCCTTCCAGTGCATCCCCTTGTCTACTCCCTGAGCAGTTCCATGACCATGTGTCACTCACAGCAGCTCTGCTGGCCATGAAGCATGGCAGGCTGAGACATGAACGTGCCAGGCCTGCTTGGAGTCGGAACCTCTGTCTCACTTGCTTGGCCCAGCTTTTTCGTCACTTCTTACTCCAGGCTGGCCCTGGGGTGTGACCTCAGGTGAGCCTGGTACAGGGGTGGAGCTGGCAGGCTGAGAGAGGGTGCCCTCGAACACATACGCCCTCTTCTTCTGTAGGCAGGGAAGCTCTCACATGGGCTCCCAGCAACTTTAATGCTGAGCTTCAGGACTCTGTGTGCTGCCCTCATGCTGCTGTCATTCCCAGCCCCCATCCCACACCAGCTTCCGTGTCCATGGCTACCTGGCTACTTGGCTCTCACACCTCCTCCTTTACTCAGCAGCCTCTGACCCCCAAGACGTGGGCATGGGAGGTATAGAAGAACTGGATGCAGCCCGTGGGAGCTCAGCCCTTTCTAAGGTGGAATGGATGTGGACCAGCCACCCTGGGGTGGGGCTGGTACCCAGGTTTGGCATCATCAGGGTTGCTTGCAGGGTCTGGGATGGGCTGGGACATTAGTGGGCCCAGAGGAAAGCTAGGTCACTGCATGTCCACTACAGGTGCTGTGGTCTGCGGGACCTTTGAGACGGGTGTAGGGGATGCCCGGCGGGCCCCACGTGCACGAGGGGAGCGTCGGAGGCACACGATCACCAATGGCGTGGACTGTGGCCTGGTGAGAGGGGCTGGGGCACAGTGGGGCTATGTGTGTTTTCAGAAGCCTAGAGGCCAGGGACCTGGGGGATCCTAACGGGAGCACCAGTCAGCTGTAAGGACCTTGACCCCCTGGAGAGCCAGCTAAGGTCAGACAGAGAGAAGCCATATCAATTTGGCCCAGTGCACTCTGCAACAACAGGGGGTGCCAAGTCACGGCCACTTTTCCTGTGGGAATCTTTTTTTTTTTTTTATCGGTACCGGGGTTCGAACTCATGACTACCTGCTTGCAAAGCAGGCGCTTATATCACTGAGCTAAATCCCCAGCCCTTCCTGTGGGAATCTTTAGAGGGGCTGACAGGATCCTGGGAAGTGCCATGTGCTGTGCACAGCTGCCTGTGGTGCATGGTCATTCATGTTCACTGGTGTGTGTGCCCCCCACCTGCGGGCTGCAGCTAAAGCAGGTGAAGGAGCTGGAGCAGGAGCAGGAGGTGCTGCTGCAGGGCCTAGAGATGATGGCACGTGGCCGGGACTGGTACCAGCAGCAGCTACAGCGGGTGCAGGAGCGCCAGCGCCACCTGGGTCAGAGCAGAGCAGGCGCTGTGAGTGCTGGGACTGGGGTACCTGGGGCTCCCCTGGGCTCTGGGCAGCCACAGGATGGCCAGCTGCAGTGACCACTCATGGCCTTGTGCTTCCTGGCATTTATGCAGGACTTCGGGGCTGCTGGGAGCCCCCGCCCACTGGGCCAGCTGCTTCCCAAGGTACAGGAGGTGGCACAGTGCCTGGGTGAGCTGCTGGCTACAGCCTGTGCTGGCACGGTGAGTGCCCCATACCTCCCGGTGCCCTTGTCTCCAAGACCGTGTCCCAGAGAGGCCTGGCTGACACTACCCCCTCCTCACAGGGCACCAGCCTGGCCCCCACCTCGCCCTCGGCCCCCAACTGGCAACAGCAGACCATCCTTATGCTGAAGGAGCAGAACCGGCTCCTAACCCAGGTGAGATGCGGGCAGGGGGCCCTGGACCCTGGCTCCAGCAAGCTCTGACTACCCACCTGCCTGCCTGCCTACCCAGGAGGTGACTGAGAAGAGCGAGCGAATCACACAGCTGGAGCAGGAGAAATCGGCACTCATCAAGCAGCTGTTCGAGGCCAGAGCGCTCAGCCAGCAGGAGGCAGGGCCCTTGGACTCCACCTTTATCTAGCCTGAGGGAGATGCCTCGACCTAGTGGGGTCCTGGAGGAGCCCGCCTTCCCTTGCAGCCTGGGCCTCTTGGCCTGGATGCCAACTGATTACAGCTTCAGGCTGTGACCCGGGTAGGGTAACAACCAGGGCTGCTCCTGCCTTGTCAGTAGATAGTGGAGGACCCCTCCTAAACCTCTCAGATCTCAAGCATCCCTGGGAGGGAGGGCTTGTTTACCACTCTCCTAGCACCCCTGCTCTGACTCTGGGGTCCCTAGTCTCTAGAAGTGGCCACCCAGGCACTGTTTCCAATAGTGACCAGCAGAGGGCAACAAGGGAACACTGGCCCTTGCCAGTGCCCTTGGGTCCAGGGACAGATGCCTTTGCTCAACCAAGACCCTTTAGGCAGGGTGTCTGAAGCTCAGTGGGAGCAGACTGGAGCTTGGGGTGCCTTCTGGGAGGGGCACTTCATAGCCTGTTAAAGGAGCCCAGGTGGGGAAGGTGGCCTATAGGTGCTGAGGTGGGGTTAGCTTGTCTGCCTTCTGCGGACTCCAGGCCCTAAGAGGACAAAGCTTTGGGATTTTTTTGTTTTCTTTCTTTCTTTCTTTCTTTCTTTCTTTCTTTCTTTCTTTCTTTCTTTCTTTCTTTTTTTCTTTCTTTCTTTTTTTTGGGGATCGAACCCAAGGTGTTGCACTAAGTTACATCCCAGTCCTTTCTATTTTTGAGATGGGATCTTCTAAGTTGTCCAGGCTGGGTTGGACTGGAACTTGCAGTCCTGGCTGCATGAGGGGATTACAGATGAGCACCACCACACCTGGCTTTTTTTTTTTTTTTTTTTTTTTTTTTGAGCCAGGATCTTGCCCTGTAGTCCAGGCTGGCCTTCAAACTGGCTGTGGGGTTCAGGCAGTTCCCTGGCTCCGCCTCCTGAGTGCTGGGATTACAGCACTGGCCACCATGCCCAGGGCTCCCACACACACTCCTCTTGCAGGACCAGGATTCCAGGGCTGGGGACCTGCTCCCTCCGTCCCAGGTCAATGAGGGAAGGGAGCTGTGGGGCATCGGAGGAGCTGAGGTGAGCCCTGGGGGATGGGGCAGCAGAAGTACCTTGGGCCCTGTGGTCAGGGCCCCTGATAGGCTCCATCCACTTCCTGTTGTTCTCAGGTCTTCTCAGATGAAGCCGGTATTTCTAGGTAGTCACAGTGATGTGCTCTAATCAAAACCAAAGACCACATCTTCCCATATGCTTTTAGTTTGCTTTTCTGTCAGGTCCAAAGGAAAGTTTCTCCTTGCTTAATACATTTTCCAATTGTATTTTTGCTTTCTGCTTTTGAATTCCCAGAGTCACATACCCTCCCCCTGTATGCCAGGTCTGCTTCAGGCTGGCCCCTGCCTCTCCCTTTGTGGGACAGCATCAGTGTCCCTCTGCCCATCAGATCTGGGGCCATGTGCTGGTCCTTTAGGGTCCACAGAAACAGCCTCAACCCTTCCAGTACCTAGGGCTGTGTCCTCCATGCGTCCCCTGCGGGGCAGACGCAGATGCTGTGGAGTCAGGCCTCTGAAAACCCCACCCTGTGCCCACAGTGCCCCTTCTCATCCCCTGCACCTCACCTGCCAGCTCTGTGCCAACAGTGGAGCCATGTACACTCTGTGTAGTGCCTAAGGTGGCACACTTCCTCCTGAGGTATGACAGAAAACAGGTCCACCCAGGGAGATATTCCCAAAACCTGCAGATGACGCTGGGCCTTCAGCTGAAAGGTAGATGACACACACTGGGGGAACAGCAATGAGGAAAATGTGTCACAGCTGGCGGTGCAAGCCTGTAATCCCAGTGCTGTGGGAGGCTGAGGCAGGAGGATTGTGAGTTCAAGGCAGCCTGGGCAACTTAGCAAAATCCTGTGTCAAATGTTTAAAAATAAGAGCTGGTGATTATAGGTCACTGAAGGTGCTAGATTCAATCACTAGTGCCATACATACAAGTGTCCCCCAAATGTGCACCTGGAGCCCCTGAGGGAGAATCCAGCATCCCAGCAGGAGGGCTCAGGTGGACCTTCTCAAAGGTTCTCTCGGACGCCCCATCTGGGAGTATCCATCCCAGGGCTGTCATTACTGGGGGATGCAGGCAGCGCCCCTGAATTTCACTCCTAGTGCTAGTCTGCAGCTCCCTCAATATGACAACCAGAAATGCCTGGAAACTGGCTCTGTTGAGGGGCACTTACAGCTCTTGTGATACCTGGCTTCACCACCCTCAAGGATTCAGGGTGGAGCAAAGCCCAAAGCCATGAGCATCAATCACAGGAATAACAGGGTCTGCAGGTGTTAGGCCCACAAGTGGCTCCAGCACATAGAAATGGGTTTTTCTATAGCTAAGGAAATAAAGCAGGCTCTTGAAAATAGGAGTAAGGAACAGTTATCCTCTTGTTCCATAGAGCAGTGGAACCCCAGAAGGGATAAAGGCTGCCGATCAAGTTAGAAGAATCAAGTTGGACTATTAGAAACAAAAATAATGTAATTGCAATGAAGAGTTAGAAAATAGGGGCTGGGGATTTAGCTCAGCGGCATAAGCACCTTCCTTGCAAGTGTACAGTCGTGAGTTCGATCCCTGGTACTGATAAAAGTGAAAAAGACAAAGTTAGAAAATGGAGTAAATGTGAGACAGGGAAGTACAGCGCAGCTGAAGAGAGTGAGTTGAGAGAGGGCAGTGAGGAGATTGTCCATAGCACAGCCAGGGGCTGGGGGCAGCGGCTAGGGGGCAGGGCCGAGGCCAGGGAAGGAGGTGTGATGCACGCAGCCTTGCTGGTGTGAAGGGTTTGGAATTAGCCAGGGTCAGTGGAAGCACACTCCACGGATTCCCGATGACCAGAGAGAAGTACCACTGGGTTTGGTTGTGCCTGCTTGGACTTCCAGTGCTCTGGAAGGCCAAGACAGGAAGGTAGTAAATTCCAGTCCAACCTGGCTGACTGAATAACTTAGCAATACCCCTCTTTAAAATGTAAGGAAGTGCAAAAGGGCTGGAGCTATGTCTCAGTGTAAAGGTCTTGGGTTCAATCCTCAGGACCACAAAAGGGGAACACTTCATTTCATGAGACTGCAAAATAATTCACAGACAAAAAAAAGAATTGTCTACAGAGAAACAACTGGCTACAGCCCAGGCAATATAATTATTAACCTCAAAGTCCATACCCAGTGAAGTTATTTTCAAAGAATGAAGGCAAAATACAATATTTGCCAAAAAAAAAAAAAAAAATCAACAGTTTACTACCAAAAGAACTTCACAAAAGGAACCTGCAGAGGAGATGGAAGGGAAAAGTGAGGACCAAAAAGGCAGGGTGGGTGCTGGGGATACACTCAGTGGCACAGCACTTGCCTGGTAAGCTCGAGGTCCTGAGTTCAATTCCCAATATCTCCCCACACCCCACAAAAAAGGCAGGTTGCTGGACATGGTGACACCTGCCTGTAAGGCCAGCACTTGGGAGGCTGAGGCAGGAGGATAGCGTCAGTTGAAGGCCAGCCTGGAGCTGTCTCAAAAAAAAAAAAAAAAAAGGGTAGCTATCTCAACTTGTGGTCTAATCATCACACCTAGCGCTGCATGCAGGGCAGCAGATAGCTGTCTGCAGCCCCAGCAAGTTAGGAGTTTGTGAGCCCTTCCTGAGTGCTTTGAACTGGGAGTCATGGGGTAACCTCAGGGCCACTCTCATCCAGGCTGTCAGGTGGAGCCTCCGTTGCTTGCCTGTTGGGAGCTCCTGCAGCAGCTGCTGGAGCTGCAGTGGGGGAAGCCACCTCCCTTACGGCCATGTCGCAAAGGCACTGCTGAAATGTGCTGTGAAGAAGCCAGAGGCAAAGTCCAGCCCTTGAGGTGGGTGGAGCAGAGGCCTTGCCCTTTGGGGAAGAGGCCTCCAGTAATCTGTGGTGGGATCTTAAAACTGTGGGGAGAGCTAAGCAAACTAACGGTAGTGCCCGTTTGTGGGAGAAAAGCAGGATGGAAATCAAATATGATCAGTAATGGCCTATGCCAGGCAGGAGTGGACAGGAGTGACATCACCACCAGACATTTAAGGTCTCTGGTCACCAGCCAGAGAAACAAATCTACTACCTTTGACCTCAAGTCTGTTACAGTACCTGGAGGAACCGAGGAAAGCAACAGCTGCAAGTGTACGCCTCCCAAGGTGGGCAGGGGCAGTGGACAAAAAGAGGAAGAAGCTCACCCTGAAGAAGAAGAAGCAGTTTCAGAGCTGGGCGAGGTGGGGCACATCTGTGGTTCCAACACTCACAGGTGGAGGATTGCAAGTGTGAGCCCAGTCTGGATTGTTAGTGACTTCGTGAGACCTACCGCAGAATAAAAAAGGGCTGGAGGTGAGACTCAAGGCAGAGTCCCTGTGTTCAATCCCAGTATTGAAAAAAAAAGTCAGGACGCACATAATAAAGTGGCAGAAATACACCACTGTTCACCATTGTGCACATAGACTCAAGAGTGAAAGGACAAAGTCCAGATAGGTTTTTTTTTGTTTTGTTTTGTTTTTGTGTTTTTCTGAGGCAAGGTCTCACTACGCAGTTCAGGATGGCCTTGAGCTCACTTTGTAGCCCAGGCTGGGCTCAAACTTGCAACAATCCTCCTGCCTCAGCCTCCTGAGTGCTAGGATCATAGGTGTGCGCCACCACACCTGGTTCAGCCAGACTGGATTTGTAGATATTCAGATGAAGCTGTTTTAAGGGATATACCTGTGAACAAAACAGGCAGATCTGGGGGCTGGGGATTTAGCTCAGCAGCATAAGCACCTGCTTTTCAAGCAGGTGGTCTTGAGTTCAATCCCCAGTACCGATCAAAACAAAACAAAAACCAGGCAGATCTGGAAGTGAGCAATACAGTGGATTGTAACTCAGGTGAGTTCCCAATAATGGGAACGAGGCTGGCCTGGAGTTGGAAACACTTAGGGGGCCTTAGAATACTGCACTTCTGCTGTTCCCAGAGAAGACCCAAAATGGCAAACACAGGAGAGGTGCTGACAGGCCACACAGTGGCAGCTGTAGGCGGCAGCAGAGGCCTCTGGCTCCCCTCTGCTGGGGGGGACAGTGAGTTTCAGCAGCAGTGTGCAGGACCTGCACCCAGGCAGAGGTGCTAAGAGGTGGAGGAAAGGCAGATCTGGGCCTGCATGGGGACAAGAGGGGCTAAACACATCGCGGTGGCAGCGGACCGGAGCGGCTCTGTGCTTGGAGAGTAAGGTGGCCTTGCTAGCTGGGGCATCCTACACTCTCCAAGAATTGGCTCTCCGTCCAGCATCAATTACTACACAGTCTGGGTGGCCAGGTGCTGGGGCTCTTGAGAGCCTGGGGCAAGCAAGATGGCTGAGGTCACGTCAAGTGTGTCCCTGGTGCAGCTGCGCACAAGGAGGTGTGCTTTTAAGTCTCAGATCAGCTCGAGTCTCGTTTACTTTTCTCTCATTGCTGAGAAAAACACTCAACACCCAAAATGAAGTAAGGAAAGGTTTATTTAGCTTGCAGTTTGTGGAAGTTTCAGTTAAGACTCAGCTGGCTCTAAGGCAGGGTGGGCCAAGGCAGAGGGTGACAGCTCATGGTGGTGGAAGACAGCAAAGCAACAAGAGCAAAAAGGAAGGAGCACAGAGAAGACTCTTCTGTCCCTTTCAGTGCGTGCAGGCCACACTGGCCCTAGGGTGATGCAGGACTCACAGCCAGAATCCATAATTGGACCAGGAATCAATCACAAGCCCTAGAAGCCTGTTCCCATGACTCTATGAGGCTTTGAGGGACATCCAGACCCAAACCGTAGCGGCTGCCATACAGGAGGCGCATGGTACTCCTCTGCAGTGAGGTTTACTGGGTCACCCAGTTTCAGTGTTGCCATGGAGACTTTAAGAGGTGGCAATATTCAATCAGGTGACTCGGGTAAAGCGTATCTCCTTCCTCTCCTTGCTGCTGAGGTCCACAGCAGGAAGGAGGCCAACCTTGGCAAGGCCTTTGGACCAAGGTTGCAACACCAATGTAGCCTCACCCCTTCTGCTCCTAGGGTAGATTGAGCCCCAGCTCCTGCCTGGCCCTGCACACCGACACCTCCTCCCCCACCTTGCTCGCTTTCTCTGGAAAACTGACTAATCCATCATCTAACGGTGCTCCAGAGCAACGAGCTGTTTTCATCCAGGAACATGTACCTGGCAGTGTTCATAGCATTTCATATACTTTGTGCAATAGGAAGCTGATGACACTTCTCTCAGGAGTGACTGGCACAGAGCCTCCTCCTGGAATATTACTCAGTGGTGAAAAGCAGGGATGACACTGTGTGTGGACTGCCAGGAAATGCTGGGGAACAAAACCCAGTCTGAAGAATGCATAATTACCAGAAAATACATAATTACAATCAACTGGTTAACACTGTATAGCATGCACGAACTTATTTCTTTTTTCTTTTTTTAACATGAACTTATTTCTAACAGTCACAAAATACACAGTTACAGAGGGGAGCTGACTGGGGGAGGCCAGGATTTGGGAGTGGGAGAGGAAGAATGAGTGGGTGGTATACAGGGCCGCCAGTGACAGGATTGTGAGTCTCAGTGGTGATGGGATTTAGACCCCTGTGGGGGTGGAGGGAGCTCTTGGTGAGGCCTCTGCCTACTGGTGGGCAGGCTGTGGCAGCTGTGCCCATGCCGGCCACCCACATGTGTGTGTGATCAGCTCAAAACTTAAAGGTGGGGTAAAACACATTTATGTACACCAAACCTGTCAGAGCAGCAAGGAAAGATGGACAAGTCCACCTGTGACTGATAGGTGACAGGCTAGGCAGAGGACAGTGAATGTGCACACTGTCCCCCCAGAGGCTTGGGGGAGCAGAAGAACCTTTCAAAGGCCAAGGGAGGCCAGGGCACTGGGAGACGCCCTAGGTGGGCATCAGCCTCAGAAGAGGGGCCAGGAACAGGCTTCAGTGGAAACACAAGCAAAGTGTATCTGAAGAGTGGCCCAGCTCCAAAAGCAGAGGCTGGAGGGGCGGCCTACAGCCTCCAACACAGCCTAGACTTCGGCTCAGAGCCCCTAAGTCAACTGTTAAACTCTAGGAAGTCACACAAGAAAAGGAAAGAAACCTTTTTCTCCAGTACTGGAGGTTGGACCCAGGCCCTTTACACTGAGCTACGTCCCCAGTTTTTTTTTTTTTTTTAATTCTTTTTTATTACTGTCTTGTTAAATTGTCTGTGCTGAGCTCAAGCTGGCAGTCCTCCTATGAGGCTCTTGAGTGCTGGGATCACAGCACATGATGCCTCACCCAGGGAGAGCACTGTTTAAGTAGATGTCTTGTAGCAGATCCTTTCCTTTGTGCTGGGCAGCAGTCAAACAAAACAGATTTGAAACTTGCTGTTTGTGGATGTTCTGGGGAGAAAAGAAGGCTGAGGTGCAAATGAGTGAAACAGAAGACGTGGAGAAAGCCAAACCCGTGGCAGGGAAGCCAAGGAGATGCAGGAGCACCGGCTTGCTTCATCTGGAAGAGGTGAAGTGTCCACACGTGACACAAGGAATAAAAACATGGACAGCGTCTGTGGTGTGTGGAGAAGATATTCCAGACCAATTCATGCTGATCCACTTGGAACAGATCAATTCCTAAAAAATGCAAAACTGACTCAGAAGAACCAGAAGGCTCATCTGTCCTGTACGACCCAGGACAGGAAGTCCTGGTTAAAGGGAGCAAGATGCCAGGCCTGATGTTTTCCAGGCAAAATGTGCTGCATACTCGAGCAGCCGGTGCCCAAACGCTAGGCATGATCTCCAGAGTGGCACTGGTGCAGCTGGCTGAACCTGACATCAGAGGCAGGGGAGGAAAGATGCTGTCTCACTCCACAAAGTGTAAAGTGAGACAGCTCCTCACGATGGCGCAGGCTAACGCCGGGCACACAGGGAGTGTGGCATTTTAAAATACACTTCAATGAGTTATACCAATGGATCAAAATTAAAAATGTGTGAAGCTGCTCAGGTATGCAGAAAAAGCATTCTGTGAAACTCAGTATCTGGAGTATTATTCAGTGGTAAAAAGAAATGGGCCATCCTGTCACAAGAAGAGGGAGAAGCCAGGCCTGGTGGCACAGTCCTGTAATCCCATCACTCCGGAGGCTGAGGCGGGAGGATTGCTGCAAGTTTGAGACCTTCATGGGCTACAGAATGAGCTCAAGGCCAGTCTGGACTGCATAGCGAAACCCTGTCTCAAAAAGAGTTAAAAAAAAAAAAACAAGAAGAGGGAGAGGAAACAAACAGGGATGACTAAGTGGAAGTCAGGGGCATAAACAGGCCACAAACCCTGACCTCCACTCTGCTGTCTGGGAGGAGCTAGCTGGGGACATAAGTGGCTGTCGGGCTGCTGGGGACAGAGGGGCAGCTCAAGTCTGTAGCTGCGACAAGAGGAGCTCCATTGTTTATGGGGCACTGTGCAGAACACAGGTCAGCAAGGGTGAGCTGTCACTGTGGGCTCGGGGGTCACCAACTGGCAGCACCCCGCCATGGTGAGCGCAGTGGGGGGCATGGGAGACTCTTGCCCTCTGCTCTGTTTTGCTGTGAACTTGAATTTGTTGGAAAATTAAACTCTTTATGTTAATTCATGTCTATTTATTTTTAAAAGAATTTTGGAAAGTAAAAATCTACAAAAAATTCTATGGCAAATGTGATTAACAGTGAAATGTTGAAAGCATTCTCTCTAACGATCAGGAATAAAATCGTAAACCATTAAAGGTCACTTCCATTCAAAATTTTACTGATAGTGTTAGAGTCATTAAGACTTTCAACATGGTGGTGGCTTAAAAATTGCTTTTAGGTTAAAAAGCCCATTAAATTCCTTTTTTCAAGATGTGGTATTGAGATAGGGTCTTGCTGTGCAGTTCAGGCTGGCCTTGAGGTCACTCTGTAGCCCAGGTTGCCCTTGACTTTGGGCTACAGAGTGAGCCCAAGGCCACCCTGAACTGCATATTGAGACCCTGTCTCAAAAAGAGTTTTAAAAAAAAGAGGGAGAGGAAACAAACAGGGATGATCCTGAGGTGATCCTCCTGCCGCAGCCTCCTGAGTGCTGGGATTACAAGTGTGTGCCACACCTGGATCCTGAGAAAACTGTTTTTAAAAAATGTTTAAGACCTAAAAGAAAGGCTACATACATGGAGCAACAAACCATGATGTCAGGTAAAGCCTGCTACACAGAGCTGCGTCATGCTTCCAGATAGGACTCAGTACCCCAGAGGTTCTCATCTCCTCAGTCCATGCAGACTCAAATCATTCCAGCTGGAGTCCCAAACAAGCATCTATGGAACTGGTGAGCTGGTTCCAACATGTCTGTGTGACAGCAAAGGCGTGGAAAGAAATCCAGGCAAGGAGTTGAGTGGGAACTTCCTCCCTAGAGACAGAGATGGCTGTGGGAGTGCCAGGCAAACCCTGAGCTGGGACAGGCAGGGTGGGGGACTGAGCATCAGTACCCCCAGGTCCCTTTCACCCCTGAGCAATGCGGCACCCCGATTTGCTCCCAGACCCTATCCTGGCCCCCCACACACAGATGTCATTTCCAGAGGACTCAGGCCCACTCACAGCAAATCATGGCCATCAGGAGCATAGCTGTGACCTCACATAGGTTACTCATTGCCAGCCGAGCCAGCGAATACCGGCCCAGGGGACCTAGTGTCAGGATGGCAAGCTGCACAATCCTTCGGCCAGGAGTCAGGCCAGTGGGCATCACCAGGGCCAAATAGTCTGAGAAAGGAGAAGACAGGCGAGGCCGGCGCTTGCAGATGAGAAAGAGGCACCACATCTTTTAGTGGCTGAGGAAAAGCTTGCAGAGGCCTTGGGGAGTCATTTTGCTCTCAGCAGTGTCACTACAACCGAGGTGAGGATGGAGAGGAAGCAGAGCAGCCAGAGGTGCCTGTCACTTGCTGACAGGACACACGTGCACCACTCCGCTCCCCAACTGCCCCTGGAGAAACACTCGCAAGTGTGCAGAGGTTTGGGCAGCAACCAGAAAAGCTAGAAGCCAGACACGTTCTGTGCCTTTGCTGCGATCACGAAATGGGAACTGGCCCATGACAGGAAGGCACACACTACCCCACAGGTCAACAGGGCTGGTTCGGAATGCAAGGCCAGCCAGGGAGGGTGGTGCATACCTGTAATCCTGCCTCCTCTGGGGCAGGAGGATCCCAAGGTCGAGGTCAGACTGAGCAACTTAGCAAGACTGTGCTCAAAGAAGCAAAAGCGACGTGAGTGTAAGCAGCAAGCTACTGAAATGTGTGTGCAGGCTGCAGTTCAAAATGAGGGAATGCAGCCAAGGATAGAATTTATGGAGCCACCGACAGGTGGTGAAACTACAAGGAAGGCCAGGCACAGTGACGCACTCCTGTCATCCCAGCACCCTGGAGGCTGAGCCAGGAGGATCACTGCGAATTTGCCGCCAGCCTGGGCTACCTAGTGAGACTCTGTCTCAAAAACAAAACAAAACTACAAAAAAAAAAAGCAAGGCAGAAGAAATACCCCAGCCAGGCCAGCAGGTTCCTGAGACTAGGTGGGGGTGTTCTGCACACAAATGCTGTCCTTGTCTTTATGGACTGCAGCAGGCCCTACCCACAAGCCCCTGCATCCACATCCAATACATTGCCCAAGGCTCTGCCCACACTCTGGAGTTTACCAGCATCTCTTGCTCCCATGCCCATGGGCCTGGCTTCCAGGAGGGGCTAAGTAAGTGTTTGTAGAAGGACTGAATAAGGCCATGAAGAAAAGAATCCTTCCCAGGTCCAATATTTCAACCCTGGACACTAGAAGGCTGTGGCCTTTGCTGGGGAGATTAAGCCAAGCTCCCCACCAGCTCCGCCAGCAGCAGCCTCCCGCCCCAGGCGGTCTGTGTGTTGAGGGAGGGAGGTGCTACACCCAAGGTCCCTCCTCCAGGCCTGGGCCAAGCCACATGCAGCACATTTGGAGCCCCCATCCCTGCTGAGGTTCCTGGAGGCCAGCTGCACCCCCAGCTCCTACCAGCTTCCTGCTTACAAGCCCACCAAATCCACCGAGGGCCCTGCACCCAAAGGATGCCTTTGTGTCAGGAAGGGGGTCCCCACCCTGAATTTGACTCAGTTTTCAGCCCTTGGCCTTGCTCTTCCGGCCCCTTAGTCTGCCTTCTTGGCAGGCTGGCCTGGTCTTGGCTGGGAAGGTCTCCCCGGCCTCCCCGGCAGGGGTGAGGCCTCCCCTTCCCTGCCTGTCCTTGAGCCTGGTGGGGACTCCTGCTGCCTGCTGGGTCAGCAGGACCAGGTAGGCCGCAGGTCCCGCCCTGTGCCCTGTGCAGTGCCTTTGTCTCCCCACCCATGCCTCTCACCCTCCTCAGAAAGGGCTGGGGTGGGGTCAAGGGATGAGGATGCTGTCATGCTGGTGGGAAACTGGGATCTGAAGTCCAGGCTGCCACACCCAGATGCCAGCCTGGAGCAAGGCCAGGTTGGGCTTTGAGGAGTCTGGGGACCCCTACTCCACCCCTGTTCTCACCCCTCCCTCTGGGGTCCTGAGCAGAAGAAAGACTCTTTTGCTGGAGCTGTGACATCAGATCCCCAGCCTGGGCTGCAGGCCCAGCCCAATTGTCCTGGCTGGTTCCACAGGCCAGGGCACTGCCCAGCCCTGCCCCCATCAAAGGGCCCTTGAGCTCCACTGCCGTCTCCTTGGTGGTCTTGCCACATGGCCTCCCGCTGGCCCAGGGACAGTGCTCTGCCCAGAATTCCCATGCCGCAGGGGCATGGAGGAGGTGGCTCCCAGCCAAGGAACCCTGCCTGTCTGGTCAGGCCGGCCGAGGGTCACGGCTGAGGCTGATGCTAACGGGTTGCGGGGCAGGCTGGAGCCTAGGATTGCTAACCCACATCAGATCTGCCAGTCCTCAGTGTGAGGCGCTTCCTCTGCAGCCCCCTAAGGAGACCTAGGCTCTCAGTCTCTCCGCAGTTCCTGGGTTTACCGCCGGCCATCCCTGCCATGCCGGGACGGTCGCTGCCTGCAGGGTCGGTGCAGACCTTCTGAGCGCCGGGCACCAGTCCCTCCCTGCCCAGGCCAGGGAGAGTGTGGGTCTCTGGGGCGAGGATCCCGCCCATCCCGGCGCCGGGTATTCCGTGCTCTGGACTCCCCAGATCAGGAGCTGGGGCTCACTATGCGGAGAGAACGGAAGGAAGGGTGCCGGGCAAAGGCTAAAGCCGACCGGGATCCCCTAAGCGCAGGGCACCGGGAGCTGTGACTCAGCTGCAGAGGCGCTCACCTGCGCGCGGTGGGGCGGGGCCTGAGGGGGCGGGATCGGCGACCCCGGGGCGTGGCTATGGGCGTGGCCTCGGCCGTCCGGACTCCTACCCCACCGCCGGCCACCCTGCGCCGGGTCCCTGCCGCCGCCGCCGCGCCCGCCGATGGCTGGGAAGACGCTGTCGCTCCTGCCGCCGCTGCTGCTGGCTACTGCGGGTCTCGCCGGCCTCCTGCTCCTGTGCGTCCCCACCCGCGACGTCCGGGAGCCGCCCGCCCTCAAGGTGCACGTCCGGCTCCGGCGCGGTCCAGGAGCGGCCGGACAGAGCCGGGGCCACCGCGCTGCGCTCGGCCGGCTGCAAAGCTCGGGCTCCGCAGGTCTTGGGCCGGCAGTGGCACTTTCGGGGTGACGCGGAGCCGGAGGTCGAGGTCGTGGGGACTCCCGGCGCCTAGAAGCCACCCTCGCGGCTTAGCCTCGCCCCGGGGCGCGGCCAGGCCACCCTAGCCCAACCAGAGTTGCGTCTGCCCTGCGCCGCCCGGACCGTTAGAGGCACAGGGGCCGGGGTTCGCCTGTAGGCCGGAGGGGGGGGGGCTACAGCGCGGGAGAACAGGGACCCCAGGCCTCGGTGCCCCGACCATATGGGCTCTGTCCTGCAGCGGATGACCTCAGGTCGATCTGCATAGGGGCCATTTAACCCTCAGTGTGCTGTGCTGATGTAGGGGCAGTGGAGATCGGAGCCCTGTGAGCTCCAGAATGGGGACGCGGGAGGGGCGTGGGCTCTGGCAGAGTTCCCTGAGGGGAAGGCACAAGTTACTCTTTCCTGACTGGAACTGGCACCCAGCAGAGTGGTCTCCATTTTGGGCCCTTGCGGGAGATTCTGGAAAAAGCCACTTGCACCTCCACCCTAAGCTCGCCTGGCTTGTGAAGAGGTTCCCACAGCACCCTGGCTTTACAGGACCAACCTCTTTCCGTCCTGGCTTTGAGGCCCAGGGAGGGTGGTGGGTTTGAAGCCTATACACTGCTTCCAAAGAAGCCTCCCCAGGTTGGGCTGAGGGTAGGTGTGGGCAGAGGAGGAGGAAACAGTGGCTTTCTGCTGGGAGTGTCAGGCAAAGTTCCAGACCAGGTCATCCTGGAACCCTCTGACCTCGGCACAGCTGCTCAGATGCCCTGGCAAGTGGCCCTCCCACAGTCTGACATACTGGCTTGCATACAGGAGGATTGCCAGGGGGTCTCGGTCACCTACAGCCACACCACCAAGCTGTCACTGAGGCTGCTTATGGCCTTTTCTGAGCTTTGGCATTCGGGAGGGCACAGAGCTGGGGGAGCTAATAGATCCCCAAACGGGCCTGAGGGCCCCTCAGGCTGATGCCCTAACCCACTCCTAGTATGGCATCGTGTTCGACGCTGGCTCGTCACACACATCCATGTTTATCTACAAGTGGCCGGCAGACAAAGAGAACGACACAGGCATTGTGGGCCAGCACAGTTCCTGCGATGTTCAGGGTAAGGCGGCTCCCAAGTCCTGATACCCATTCCCCGTAGGGTCTCAGTCCTGCCTTTCTACTTGAGGCTGGGTAGTACCCACTCCAAGCAGGAGTTGCAGAAGGAGGGGCCTCGCCCTGGCCTGGGGGCCACGGGCAGTTTGTATTCTAGAAAGGAAGCAGCAGGTGGAGATGAAGGGTTGGGCCTTGCCAGCCCAAGCCTCTGCTCTGTGCTCCAGTGCAACAGGAAGGGTTTGGAGGGCCTGGCATAACATCCAAACTAGGCTGCATTGACAATGCCCAGTGCTTTGTCCTGACACCTGTGCCCATACTTGTCCAGCAGGCGGCAGCCTCAAAGACTGGGTGGCATCTGGGTCCTTTTGTCTGTGAACAGGGTGTCTCTGGGGCTGAAGCTAGGAAGTTATATCCAAGCTGGTTGAGAGCTTCCAGCCTGCCTTGTGACTGTAACTGGGCCTGGGCTCATCTCTCTCCTCCCTCTAGGTGGGGGCATCTCCAGCTATGAAGACAACCCTTTGAAGGCAGGACAGAGCCTGGTGGAATGCCTGGAACAGGCGCTTCGGGAAGTCCCCTCAGAGAGACATAGTGGCACACCCCTGTACCTGGGCGCCACGGCAGGCATGCGCCTGCTGAAGTGAGTGAGGTTCCCCGGCCTTGCCGGGGGCTCTGCATGCCCTTGGTGCCAGCTCTGGGTGGGGACTCCTCCCACCGTCAGATCACAGCTTCCTGTATAGAAGACCCCTCAGAGTTCTCCTGTCCCACAGCCTAACCAATCCGGAGGCCTCAGCCAGGGTCCTGGCTGCGGTGACACGGACGCTGACCCAGTACCCCTTTGACTTTCGGGGAGCACGCATTCTTTCGGGCCAGGATGAGGGCGTGTTTGGCTGGGTGACTGCCAACTATCTTCTGGAGAACTTCATCAAGGTGGGCTCTGCAGCTGCCCCAGGATGCCAGGGTGGCAGGGCACAGGTCCTATCCCTGGCTGATCCATCTCCATTCTTCACAGTATGGCTGGGTGGGCCGGTGGTTCCGGCCAAGGAAGGGGACCCTGGGGGCCATGGACCTGGGAGGTGCATCTACCCAGATCACCTTCGAGACAACTAAGCCAGCTGAGGATCCAGCCAACGAGGTCTACCTGCAGCTCTATGGTCAGCACTACCGTGTCTATACCCACAGCTTCCTGTGCTATGGCCGAGACCAGGTCGTCCAGAGGTTGCTAGCCAGTGCCCTGCAGGTGCCTCTCCTCCCAGGGGACCCCCACTGCAGAGAGGGAGTGAAGAGGGACAGGGGCTGAGAACCCTTTTTGCTGGAAGGACAGGAGGGGAGGGACCAGCATGCAGAGGATCTAGTGGCCAGGGGCCTAGAGGAAGGAGGGGGCCACTGAAATGGTTGGCCAAGTGCCTGGATTTTTGTCCTGCAGGCAATGGGGAGCTGTAGATTGCTCATGAGCACAAAAATGATATAGTCCCAACTGGACCATGGGCATTCATCATGCTGGCCTTCTGGGGCTAAGGGAACAGGCAGTGCTTGGGTAGGGGTACCACATGCATTCTGGTTCTCTTTTCCCAGACCCAGGGCTCCCACCCTTGCTGGCCACAGGGTTATTCCACCCAAGTACTGCTCGGGAATGTGTACCGGTCACCCTGTACCTGGGCTCAGCGGCCCCAGGACTTCAACAGCAGCGCCAGGGTCACTGTGCAGGGCACTGGTGACCCTGAACTCTGCCGTGGCCTTGTCTTGGGGCTCTTCAACTTCTCCTCCTGCCGTTTCTCCCGATGTTCCTTTGATGGGGTCTTCCAGCCTCCTGTGGCTGGGAACTTCATCGTGAGTCCAGGGGCCAGGAATGGAAGTGGGCGTGGGCTTGGGAAGTGCCTAGGGCCAGCTTCGGGTAACTGTGGCACCTGCAGGCCTTCTCTGCCTTCTACTACACTGTGGACTTCCTGAGGACTGTCATGGGGCTGCCCACGGCCACACTGAGGCAGCTGGACACGGCTGCGGTGACCATTTGCAACCAGACATGGGCCGAGGTGAGGCTGCACCACCTCCTTGGGCCATGGAGAGGCCTGGGCACCAGCATCACCTCTGCCAGTTCTGTGGGACCCAGGCCTCTCAATGCACTCTGTGGTTGGGGCCACCATGCTAGACACCATGCTAGACTCCAGTGGCAGCAATATTGAGGAGTGTGGGATCTGTGAACAGGGGACCCCGGTTCTCCCTAGAGGCCTGGCCCTGCCTACAATGAAGACCAGGAGCAGCATGAACATGACAGCAGAGATGGGGCTGCAACCAAGCATGGGGAAATGGGAGGTGGTTCCCCGTGCAACCAAGCATGGGGAAATGGGAAATTCGGGCACCCAGCAGTGGAGCTGGCCAGGCTCAGTTGTGGGGACGCAGAAGTTGAAGGCCACCCAGGCCCAGGCTTATGACTCCAGACCCTGGTGGAACACTGGTGCCAAGGAAGAAAGGCAGGTGGCTGGCATCTGTGTGTGTAGCGTTCACCTGAGCCTCGGGAAAGATGCGACCTCCCGTGGTACTTCTCGGGGGATGGGTGAGGTAGAGGCGGCTGGAGAGACAACGGAGGCCGGGCTCAGCCTGGAGCTCCTGCTTCCATGGCCTCTGTCCCAAGGTGGTCACTTGCTCCCCTGAAGCCTGGCCAGTGCTAGCTGCAGAGACCACGCAGCCGTCCCATCCCGCGGTTCATTCCAGGAGGATGCGCTGTCTGCCTGTGCCTCCTTAGCGCGGCAGGGAGGACACAACGATCTCTCTACTGCATTCCAGCTGCAGGCCCGAGCACCTGAGCACAAGGTCCGCCTGGCCGACTACTGCGCTGGGGCCATGTTCGTGCACCAGCTGCTGAGCCGCGGCTATGGCTTCGACGAGCGCGCAATCAGTGGCGTGGCCTTCCAGAAGAAGGTGGGAGCCGGGCCGGAGGGGCGGAGCCGGAGGGGTGGGGTGGGGCGGGCCAGGGCGTCCTGCAAGCTGAAGCTACGCCCCCCCAACCCCCCCGCAGGCAGCGGACACAGCCGTGGGCTGGGCGCTGGGCTACATGCTGAATCTCACCAACATGATCCCTGCCGATCCGCCGGGCCTGCGCAAGGGCACCGCCTTCAGCTCCTGGGTGGTCCTGCTGCTACTCTTCGCTGCCTTGCTCCTGGCTGCGCTTGTCCTGCTGCTGCGCCGATTGCGCTCTGCCAAGGCTCAGAACATCATCTAGGGTGCGGGGCGGGGTGGTGTGGACCTCACTCGCAGCACCTTACTCCGCAGTAACTGCCCCAGCACCCCGGGGGGGGGGACGGAACTCAGATTGCCACCCACACCCACAGGGGTCCCATGGGGGGCAAAGGAGACCCGCACCCCCTTTTCAGTCCCCCAGCGCCCCCAGCCCCGGCAACCGGGCTTCACCTTAACGCTTCTCTTTTTGAGCTGAGGGCCCCTCAGCCTGTGACTCAGAGCAGGGTCTCCAGGGAGTGGACCTGTGGCCCTTGAGGCCCCCCACGGTGTCCAGGCCTGTCCTGGGGAGGGTCAGAACCCAGGGCAGGGAGCCAGCCCAACGCCTACGTGTAAACGTTTTGTAATAAAACATCTTTCCTAGAGCAGCGAACAGTGTTTCCAGGGTGCGGCGGGTGTCGTTGCCTGACCTTCCTGCGTCCAGCTGTGTTGGACCGCAGGTCTGTCAGTCCCCAGGGTAAACACAGTTTTTCTGGTGTCCTTCCAGCCTGGACGGGACTCGGGTTGTGTGAGGTTTCCCTGCTCGGGGGTAAGGGGACATCTCTGAGTCCTTGAGTCTCCTTCAACCCGAGAGCCACCCCAAACTGCTCCCCAGATCCGCGTCGGTGATCCTGGCGGGATGGAGGCCGCTCTAACCGAACTGGAAGAGGGCGAGCTCAGGGAGGGAAGCCGGTCCTCAGGACAGGTGTGGACCGGAAGTGACTCCCGCCAAGGCCCACCTGCCAAAGGGCACCTGCACACCTTGCCCTCCTCCACTGGGCGCTGAGCTGGCATCCTGAGCTTGTTTTCTCCAGGAGGCGAAGGCGTGGTCTTGGCGAGTCCCCCCCTTCCTGGGAATGTGCTCCGCCGTTTTGTGGTCACCGTCCCTGGGGCGGGCGGGGGGGTTATTCAACTCACCCCACCTCTACATCGCCTTCTGAAGGGGTGCTTTGGAGTCTGAGTCTAGGGCCGGCTGGAGTCTCGATCTGGTTCTCTGGGCCGAGGTGGGGGAGGTTCCAGGTGGGACGGGTCTGTGCGCACAGGGGACTGCAGTGAGGGGCGAGAGAGGGATTCTAGGGCGGTGTCAAGGGACCTTAGTGAGCAGAAGTCCCCACCTGGGACTGTGACCACCTTGGACAGCTCCCAGATTGTTTCAGCAGCAGCTCCAGGTCACTCTTGCCCCCTGGTGGACTCGCTGGGGATCCAATCGAGAGGTGTCGGGAATGGTCTAGTTCTGCGCCCAAGTTTGCGTTCACCCGTTGTCTCCGCGCACCCCGCCTGCGTATCTCCGTGCAGCTGCTCGTCCCTTGTTTATCTGTGGGCGCCAGGGTTCTCGATTCCCAGGTATCACACCTCAGCCCAGGCAGAGGCTCCACTCTAGCGAGAGTCTGGCAAGCCGATCAGGAATAGGAGAGGAGGGGCGCAGCTTGGGAAGCCTGCCCCAGGCCGTTCCTCAACTACATTCTGCGGGGACGTGGCTGCAGAAGCCCAAGGCACAGAGGGTCTGGGGCGCGGGAGAGCGGCGCAGCGGAGGGGAGGGAGCACAGTCGAGCGCGTCCCGCCTCCAGGCGCCGCGCGCAGGCGCAGTCCCCACGCTCCCCCGCCCACTCCCCGCGTGCGCCTCCCCCTCCGCGCCTCAATCTCGGATCTTCTGCTGCAGCGTCAGCTCCGCCGCCCCCTCTTTTCTTCTTCCTCGGCTCCGCCCCCTCCTCCGCCGCCCTCCTGCTCCCCGAGGTCTCTGCCTGTGGCCCGGAGTCCGCACGGAGCCCGGGGCCGCCGGCTGCCATGCTGCCCGGCCGGCGGCGCTGAAGGATGGCGACGCCCGTGCCCCCGCCTGCGCCGCGCCACCTGCGGCTGCTTCGGCTGCTGCTCTCCGGCCTCGTCCTTGGCGCGGCGCTGACCGGGGCCACCGCCAGCCGCCCGGGTGAGCGTGGGGTGCGGGCGCGGGATACAGGCCGCGGGGGTTTGGCCTGGCTGCGCGGGGCGAAAGGCCTCGCCGAAGGCTCTATCGAAGGCTCCCCGGAGCCGGGCCTGACCGCCGGCAGCCTCGGGTCCACGCGCTTCATGCCTTTGTCTCGTCGGAAGACAGGCCAGGGGCCCTGGGAGGTCTCGGTTCTGCCCTGCTGTCGCAGTCTGTGCGTTTTGGCTTCCAGAAGTGTCCCTGATCGTAGTGCGAGGCTTAGAATCTCAAGTGGTGCCCAGCACGCCGGCATTACCTACCACAGCAGGGGCCGAGAACCGGCCCAGGGTCACGTTCTTTTAGTTGGAAGCAGACTGTCCCTGCTTTCTGGACACTTGCCACCCTGCCTTCTGGATATCGATGGGTTGAGAGGGGTGAGCCCAGAGTCCTAGTGGACCCTCCTGTGCCCCAGGCAGCATAGGACTGCAGGAGCCCAGGGTCCATCCCGCTGCCCCAGAAAAGGTACTGTCAGGTGGCTCTCTCAGCTCTCCTGGCAGCCCGGTGGCAGGTGTGCTTTCCTTCACCTAGCTTACAGATGAGGAGGATACTCTGAGGTTCAGAAAAGTCAAGTGGCTGGTATTGACACAGCTAGGGTGGGGACCTGAGTGGTCTTGTTCTACATTTGCTGGTAGGCCTCCACCTGGGCACAGTGAGCTTGGCTGAAAGGTTGACACAACCACAGGATCTAGAGGAGGCCTGCAGGCAGAGCAGCACCAGGGTTGTTGGAGCCACCTTTGGAGAGCCTGGCTCCCAAGCTGCAGCTGCTGTAGTGATTCCTGGGGACAGGTGGCAGGAGTCATTCCCAGTGCCCAATGCCTGGGAGGAGGCCTTAGCTGCCCAGCTGTGGACAGAGTGCTAGCCACTGTTCAGCTGCTGCTGCTTCTGGGGCCTCATCTCCACCTCAGGCTGGAGGGGCCTTTCAGGCCAAGAACAAATGCAGTGACTGGGGGCCGGAGGAGGCCCTGGAACCCAGAGCCAAACCTTCCCAGCAGCCCTCTGCCGCAGGCCTGGTACACTCTGGGTTATCAACACCAGGGGCAGGGACTGTCTCTCCTGGTGCCCAGCTGATGGGTGGGTCCTGGTGAGCCTCCTGGCACAGGCTTAATGTTTAACTAGTCCATGCCTAGACCCAGCCCACTGATGTGATACTGTGATGGTGGGGTGCCTGACATGGAGCCTGTGCCTGCCACTGGGGCTGCTGGGACTTCCTTGCAAAGATGCCCACAGCCTGGAGCCAAGGAGTGTTAGGTTTCCAAGGAAACCAAGCTAGGCCAGCCAAGGTCTGGAGAAGGGCACATCTTCCAGTCACTCTGGGCCCCAGTGGCCCTGCCTACAGAGTGGTGGGGGCTGGGCTGAGCCAGGATGATGGTTCTGCTGTGCTTGCTATGACCATAACCAGTGACCCCACTTGGTATTCCTTAGCTCTGAGAAAGCTGAACTTCTGCGTCCCAAGAGGAAAATTGAGGCAGAAGACCTGCCTCTCCTGTGCTCCAGCAGAATGCTAGGATTGATGAGCTGTGTAAGCAGGGCACAGTAGGCTGGGTCTCAAATCAGGGAGATGAAAATGTGGTTCAGAACCAGGGCCTGGCCTGGAGTCCCCAACACTGCCCAGCCCAGGCCTCTTGAGGTTGTGGCTCCAGCCAGCCCTAGTGGCTTCCTGCACCCCCTAGCAGTGTGCAGAACCATCTTCGAAGCTGGCCCTTATTCTGGGGTCTTTTCGAGTCCACCCTGTGGGGCTGTGATTGGGAGTGGGGGGGGGGTCTTGAAGTGGGCCTCACACCCTTTGCTGCTCTTTTTTTTTTTTTTTGTCTTTTGTCTTTTTTTTCGGTACCGGGGATTGAACTCATGACTGCCTGCTTGCAAGGCAGGCGCTTATGCCGCTGAGCTAAATCCCTAGCCCCTACCTTTGCTGCTCTTAAGCCAGAGGGATTGGCCGAGCCTCTGGAGTTCCAGTCTAGATGGAAGGTCTGGTTTGTTCTTGGACATGATGAGACCAGGGCACAACCTTGGGGTCTGCATGCCCCAGCCCAGAAGAGCCCAGTGCTGGCTGGATAGTGAGGGGTCAGCATCTGGCCTGGCTGTGTGTGGACAGCTGGCTCACACAGGGATGATGTACTCTGGGGAGTGGGTGGGGCCCCATGGTTCCCATAAGTCTTGGAACTGTTTGCTTCCTGGTTTTGAGCCCTGGCAGGCGGAGGAAAGTTCTGGTCCCAGAACAATGGCTTGAGCCAGGCTGGGCCAGCACCATGGGGGAGGGGAGCCCAGGCTGAGGGCCATGACGCTCATTCTGCTTCCTTCCCAGATGCAGCTGCCTGCCCAGGGAGTCTGAACTGTGCCCTGAAGAGGCGGGCAAGGTGCCCCCCGGGTGCTCATGCTTGTGGGCCGTGCCTTCAGTCCTTCCAGGAAGACCAACAGGGGCTCTGTGTGCCCAGGAAGCGCCGGCTACAGGGTATGGGAGATGCAGGGCAGGGGTGACCAGGCAGCCTCCTCCCCTACTAATGTTGTCCTGGGCCAATGACCATGGCCTCCAGGTCCTCTGGATCCTGTGGGCACTCTCACTTCACTGTGGAAGTAGTGCTGGGATACTTTCCAGAGTTGGGTCATTGGGTCAGAGCCAGGGCTGTCAGGCTGTACTAGGTGTACAAGCTTGGGAGAGGACGGGAGAGGAGGAAGTGGAGAGGATTCCACTTCCCACCCTTGAGGCCCCCGGTCCTGTCCATACCACCACAGTTGTTTGTGAGTACCAGCCCTGCACAGTGCAACTGTCCCCAGGTAATAGGACAGCCTGTGGCTGAGTGCTATACCTTTAGGTGTGGTGGGGTTTTATAGAAAGGTGCTGGGGGGCAGAGGCTTCCTGGGGAGACTGGCATGGAGAGGGCATTGCTGGAGAGGGGTACTACTGTCTGCAGTCTTGAGCTTGTATGTGTGTCTCCACCCAGGAGATTCTGTCTGGAAGGGCGGCCACGGTGGAGACTGGTGAGCGTCCAGCACCAGCTGCCCCTCTACTGCCATCCCTTGTCCTGAGGACCCCAGAGCAGCCTTGACATAGGGCTGTACTTCATCCTCTGCCCACTCAGTGGGGAGGCACTGTCCCTGCCCTTGCTGTACCAGAGCAGGTGCATGAAATAGACAGGGATGGCCTAGCGTCCTGTGTGTCCCTTTGTGGACACAGCCAGTGGGAGACCCTGTTCTTTCTTCCTCCTTGGCCTCCAGTTTTGCTGGGAACCTGCAGCTCTGGAAGCTTTTTCAGTTGTCATGACAACCTAGTTGGGGATGCGGGGTTGGCATTGGGTCCTCGGGACCTCTGCAGCCAGGCTTGGACCTCTTCACCTGATGGCCCTTGACCTCTCCAGGGGAGGGGCCATCCCCACCCAGGCTGGAAGATGAGATCGACCTCCTGGCCCAGGAGCTGGCGCTGAAGGAGGCCGGGCACTTACAGCTGGTGCCACAGCCCCTCAAGGACCAACCTCGGCTGCTGGAGCCTGGTGAGAGCCCTGCCTGGCCTCCCTATTGCCACCTGTGAGCCCAGTTTCCTGGTCCTGCTGATCAAACACCCTCTCTCAGCAGTTACCCTGGGGTTCTCAGAACGTGGTCAGAGACCCAAGCCCGGCCTGCCCTCACCTCAGGGAGCCCCCACGCCCACACCCCGCACCTCCTTGGGCTCCCCAGTGTCTTCTGGGCCAGTGCACATGGCGCCCCTGGAGCCCTGGGGTGGACGTGGCGATGGCCTCGCCCTTGGTAGGTGGCTGGTGGAAGCGGGCAGGTGGGAAGTTCACTGGAGGCAGTGGCCCCTTGGCCACCCCTCACTGTGCCCCTCCACAGTACTCCTTGTGGTGTTCTGCATGTCTGGCGCTGCTGCCCTGGCTGTGGCCACATTCTGCTGGTGCAGGTGAGCTGGGGGTGGGGAGGGGTGGGCAGATTGGCCCCCTGCAGTTTCAAACTCGTCCTTCTGCAGGCTGCAGCGAGAGATCCACCTGACCCAGAAGGCTGACTACACAGCTGCAAAGGCACCCAGCTCACCCAGGACACCCCGGATCTCGGTGTGTGGCCCACTCCTGACCTTGTGCTCCAGCCTCTGGCTATACCTCAGGACTGCTGCCTGTAGCCCCCTTCTGGCTGCACCCCTCCTGCCTCTGGCCCCACTTGCCCAGCCTGCAGCCTTGCCCTGCAGCCCACTGCATTCATCCAGCCCCCAGCCACCACCTGCCTGGCTCTGTCCCCCACCCATCACTCTCCCCTGGCTATGTCTCTACAGCCTGGGGACCAGAGGCTGGCGCATAGCGCGGAGATGTACCATTACCAGCACCAGAGGCAGCAGATGCTGTGCCTGGAGCGGTGAGCAGCTGCCCCACCCATCTGCAGCTGCACATGCAGATGCAGCCCCTATGCCCTGCCTGACCCCCAGGGGTGTGCTGAGTGCCCACCTCAGTCCCTGGAGGGCGTGGGGAGGACCCAGCAATCCTGCCCTCATTCAGGCACAAGGAGCCCCCCAAGGAGCTGGAATCCATTTCCTCAGATGAGGAGAACGAAGATGGTGACTTCACAGTATATGAGTGTCCTGGCCTCGCACCGGTAGGTGCAAGGGATGGGGCTCCCCAGCTGGGCCTCTCCCAGCCTGGGCCTGACCAGCACCACCTCCACAGACTGGGGAGATGGAGGTGCGCAACCCGCTGTTCGACCACACCTCTCTGCCAGCGCCCCCGCCGGAACCCTGCTCTGCACCCCCGCTGCAGTGACTGAGGCTGTGCCTGCTGCTCGCTCACTGTTGCCCACGATGGCAGGAGCCTTGGGAAGTACGCTGCTGACCACGCCAGTGCCATGGCTGGCACAGGCCCAGAGCCCTCACCCAAGAGAGCCCCTTTGCAGGCTGAAAGACCCTGACACCCCCCAAACTGGAAGGCGTGGGGAGGACCCTAGAGCCCAGGTGCAGGTGGGGATTTCTGGAGACAGAAGCCAATTAAATACCTTTCTTGCCTGTGGTTTCGGCTGTGTCGAGGCTCAGTTAATCCTCAGCCACCTTCCCCTACTGCAACCCAAGTTGGGGTCTGAGGTCTCTTCCTGTGCCCCAGGAAGAGGGGTGGCTGGAGAGACGACTCCTCCCAGGGCTATACAGGATACCCAGATGCTCATCAGTTGGCCACGCCCTGCCCACACTCGTGGCCCACTATGGGGGAGGGGAGGTGCAGTGTAGGTCCAGGATCTGACCTCCTGGAAGACCCCATCAGTGGGATAAACGTCCCCATCCTGCCCACCATCCACCTGGGCTCCTGCAGGGTATAGCTGTGTTTTCAGGCAGATGATCTGCAGTGTGCCTAGGGCTGGACTCAGATGAATGGGGCTGCATTTGGGGTCTTCAGAGCTCCTCAGTGGTGGGCAGAGGCCAGGTCCTAGACAGTGCTGAGATAAGAAGAGTGAGTAGTTTAGGGCCCTGGAGGGTGGATGGGGCAGCTGGGCGTGGTGACACACACATGTAATCCCAGCACTCAGGAGGCTGAGGCAGGAGATCATCATGAGTTTGAGGTCAGTATGAACTGTGTAGCAAGACCCTGTCTTTTTTTTTTTTTGGTTTTTCTTTTTTTTATCAGTACCAGGGATCAAACTCACAACCACATATGTGCAAGGCAGGCACTTATGCCGCTGAGCTAAATCCCCAGCCCCTGTTGTTATCTTTTTGAGACAGGGTCTCTCTATGCACTTCAGGCTGGCCTTGAGCTCATTTTGTGGCCCAGGCTGGTCTTGAAGTCACAAAGATCTTCCTGCCTTAAGCTTCTGAGTGCTGGGATTACAGACATGAGCCCACGCCTGGGCATCCCACGCCTGACTGAAGACCCTGTTTTTTTTTTTTTTTTTTTTAAAGCCTAAATAAATAAAGGGATGAGGCACCAGCAGGAATGGGGCTACCCCTGTGTGGAGGCCTTGGTTTGTCCTGAGCAGTGTATTTCAGGGACCAGAGCATCCTAGACTGGGAAACCCCTTCACCCTCACCCTGCTTTGCCACTCAACTGTGACCTTGAGCTGAGTGAAAAGTGTGGTGCACAGATGTCCAGTGTCCTTTCCCTGAACCATCAAGGTGGTGACACAGAAACGGTGCAGAGGCTGGGGCACTGAGAAGGCTGCTGTGCTGGCAGAGCCCCAAGAGTCCAGGCTGGGGCTCCCTGGAATCCATGCTCAGACCAAGGAGAGGTGACACTTGGCTACGCTGCCCTGCTGGCCTGCTGGGGTGCACAGCAGCCACCTGTCATGTGCCATCTTTTTCTTTTATTTACTTATTTAGCAGCACTGGGTTTGAACCCAAGGCCTTTGCACTGAGCTAGTCCCACCCTTGTGTAATGTTTTTTAGTTCCAGACAGCTTTACTTTGTTACCCTTGCCGGACTAGACTGAGATCTTCCTGCCTCAGTCTCCCAGAATGCTGGGATCACGGGCGTGTGCTACCACGCCTTGCTTCTGCCATTTGCCATCTTCTGTCCCGAGGGTCCTGCTGCTCATGCTCAGAGGCCTTGTTGGAGGGTCTTGTGGCTGGAGAAACATGGCAGTGCTCTCCCTGGCCCTGGCCCTGGCCCTCCCTGGCAGATCCCATGCACTCAGCCTCTCCGTGCTGAGACCCCTTACATGTGTGTGTCACCATCAGGCCCACGTGCAGATGGGCTGCTCTGCAGTGTCTGGAGTCCCTGGTCCTGGTGAGAGACCTGCCAGGCCATGTTAGCCTCTTCTACCAACTGGAGGTCCCTCTGCTGCCCTGTCCTGGTTCCTGCATCCCCGTGCCCCTGAAGGCCATTTTCCCTAGCAGCAGCAAGCTCAGACTTACCTCAGCCTGACTGCTCTGCTGGGACCCTGAGCCTGCTCTAAGCAGCACCACCGCACCTGTGTCTCATTGGAGCAGGCTCAGCATGACACCACCATGCTCCCAGCACCCTGGCAGAATCTGTCTGGTGCCTCCCAGAGCACAGAGGCCAGGTGACAACCCCAGCCTGGCAGAGGTCTGGGGAACATGCCCTATTCAGCACAACTGCAGGGATAGACCACGCATGGCCCAGAACAGGGGGTGCTATGGACCCCAGCTGCAGAGACTGGGAATTAATGTATTCCCATTACACCTCAGAACCATACCCACCAGCCCAATGGGCATTCCGTGCCCCCGGCTGCTGCCCCAGCTGCAGCCTTCTGCCAGCCATGTGGCACAGGGGAGAAGGTCTTAATGCAGAACAGAAAAGAACATGCAAAGTAGGTGTGCCTTACTGGTCTCTGGAGAGTCAGGCCCCCGAAGATGGAGCTGGCCTGAGGGTTGCAGCTGTCCAAGAGAGGGTGTGTTCCCCAACTCTGGGTTTACCAGGAGGGGTCCTGGCCTGACCCCTGTGTCACAAGGCCCCAGTGCCATACCCTGGGTATCCCAGAAGGACTGACCTCCTGCCTGGCTCCCCCGGGTCACCTGCCAGTTTACAAGGCCCCATTTCTCTGCACACTCAGCTTCCTGAGGGTAGGGCCAGCCTCACTCTTTCATGGAGAATAAAGTGTTTTCCCGCCCTGCTTAGCAGGAGCAAGTCACTTTAGGGCACGGCCACCAGGGGGCCCCTGTACCCAGGTTGAGCACCTCCCAGCTCAGCGGGGGCTCAGCCTGGCTCCCTGAGGCTCCCTGGCTGAGGTGGGATTCCTCACCCTCCTGCTGGCCCAGATACTGTGGGCCCTCAGTCTCTGCCGGGCATGCTCTCCTCTAGGAACCGGGAGTGGCCAAGAGGCCCTGCTGGGCAGAGTGTGTGGTCTGACTGCCAGCCTCTGGTCTGCTAAGTGGGGGCTGGGTGCCTGTTCGTGTCCTTGTGAGCCTTGGTGGTCAGGAGGTGGCAGGTTGCCCCCCCCCCCAGCTTTCTGAGTCATGCTCTCTCCCTTATTTTTCTGTGCCATTTTGGGGCTACCGGGTTCCTACACAAGGGTATTCCATGTCAGCTGGGTGGCAGCTCAGTGGCACCCTGGGGGAGACAGGGGAGGCTCCTTTGAATCCACCCAGGAAGGGAGCCAGTTGTGGGTGTGGGCAAGGGTGAGGCCAAGGCAGGGCCCTCACCAGCCTGGTGGCACAAACAGGAAAGACAGCAGCTCTGGCAACGAGAAGCTGGTAGCCCTGGGCTGGCAGGTGGGGGAGCTGTGCAGGGAGAGGAGGTGAGGTGAAGACACCGTACGCCTCCCTTGGGGCCCCCTGCGAGGAGAGATGCCAGGGGAGGGGCCACAGGCACAAGTGCCCCTGGGCATCTCCTCGGACCCGGCGGAGTCTGCAGCCCTCTGGAAGCAGAGCCCCTTGGGCAGATGGGCTGGCTTCTGACCGCTCTGCAGCTGCCCGCCCTCCCTTCCATTGCACAAGTTTCCCACCGCAGCCTGGCAGCCAGGAGAGCCGCAGGGCGTGGGGGGCTGCAACTGCCACTGCCCTGGGCTCCCCTGTGCCCCACCACACTCTGCCAACAGCTTCCTGGTTCCCGTCCCAACCGCACTCTTGTCTTCCCCAGGGGCCACAGCTGAGGGAGACCAGCAGCTCTCAGGGCCCCCCCTTCCCGTGACACAGGATGGGGCTTAGTGGAGTGTGGGGACCACGAAATGAAGCTGGGGCTGCAGATCTATTCAATAGCACACTTACTGAGGACCCTCCTGGGGCTCTGGGCACTGCATGTGACCTGGACGTGGGGTCCTGGGCTACAGAGCAGGTTACCTGGAGGGGACAGCAGACCACTGGGCAGCACCTCAGCTGGGAGCTTGGGGTGATCTGGGGCAACCTGTAGGGCCACTCTAGGCTGGCCTTCCCTGGACTGCTGCTGCATCTCTCAGTTGGAGAGGTTGGGTGAAAGGGGAAGGAACTTGACCTCTATGGTCAGCCTGGCCACCAGGCGGGCTGGAAAGGGGACCTCAGGCTATATGCATCCTTCCTGTTCCTGGCACAGACACCAGCCCCCGGCTAGTCAGCGTCAGGGACAGGACGACTCCTTCCTTTTCCAGCCTGGAAAGCCCCCTCCTGGGGCAGCAAAGAGGAAGTGAGTGAGCAGAGCCCTCCCCAGCCCACCCAGGACCTGGGCCTGACCTCCAGCCTGGGCTTCTGTGGGCAAGCAACCCCTGGGCTGGGAGCGCTCAGCAGCCTCCTGTTGCTCTGTGCCATTCAGGGCCTCCTGCATGTGCTGAGTTTTAGGAGGACCTCAGGGTACTTCTGCTGCTTGAATCTGGATTTAGAGCCCAAGGCAGTTCCTTGAGGTGACAAGGGTGGGGTGGGGTGCCCTGATGAGAAACCTCAGCCTCCTGAAATCGCTGAGCACACACCGCTGTGGCATTCAAGGGTCTGGGAGAGCATGGCCAGCACAGGGTAAGAGTGGGGGATGTGGGTGATGCCACAGGGAGGGGCCACCACCTAGGGAAGTGCGTCTCTTACTGGGTGCCCGGGGCTATACAGGTGGTGCCTGCAGTGCCACTCTGAGGAAGGGCCAATGCTCAGGGCACTCACATGGGCACCTTTCCTGGGGAAAGTGGGCCCCTTCCTCCTCCTGCGCCCTATCTGGAGCCGTCAGGGGTGGGCAGTGGGCCTGGTTCGAGGCTCTTCCTGTTGCCAACCCCACTCCTGGCAGCTGGCGGGGTGGGGGTGGGGTAGTGGGTGATGCCAGAGGCTGGGGGCAGGGGCGGGGCGAGGCTGCAGTGGGAAGGCCTCCCGGCTGCCCTCACCTAGGCAAATGAAAGAAGAGGGTGAAAGCCGTGATTTCAGGGCACTGCTGTAGGGTGGCTGCTGTGATTTGAGAATCCGGATTTTGGGGTGACTGATTCCAGGAGGCTCTGGATGAGTAACACTGGTGAGTGTCTGCTGTCTGCAGGATGGGGGTGGTGGGGCGTGGGGACTAATGCATGTCATCAAACCTGGGGTGACAGCCTGTCTTCCTGTCCTGCTGCAGGGCGAGGCTCTATCCGGAGGCTTCGGGCCTGGGGGAGCCTGGCAGTGGGGGCCCTCCTCTCAGCCCTCTGGCTCCTGCGGCTGTTGGGACCAGCCCCAGGGGGTGCCCCGGCCCCCCAGCCCACAGTCACCATCCTCATCTGGCACTGGCCCTTCACAGACCAGCCCCCAGAGCTGCAGGGTGATACCTGTGCCCACTATGGCATGACCCACTGCCTCTTGAGCACTAACCAAAGCCTGCTGGCCAGTGCCAGTGTAGTGGTCTTCCACCACCGTGAACTGCAGACTCAGCGCGCCCGCCTGCCGCTGGCCCAGCGGCCGAGTGGGCAGCCCTGGGTCTGGGCCTCCATGGAATCTCCTAGCCACACACATGGGCTTCATCGCCTCCGAGGTATCTTCAACTGGGTGCTGAGCTACCGGAGTGACTCAGACATCTTTGTGCCCTATGGCCGCCTGGAGCCCCGCTCTGGCCCTGTACCACCACTGCCACCCAAGAGCCGGCTGGCCGCATGGGTGGTCAGCAATTTCCAGGAGCGGCAGCGGCGTGCCCAGGTGTACCGGCAGCTGGCACGCCACCTGCAGGTGGATGTGTTTGGCCGTGCCAGTGGGCGGCCACTGTGTACTGACTGTCTGGTGCCCACTGTGGCCCGGTATCACTTCTACCTGTCCTTTGAGAACTCTCAGCATCGAGACTATATCACGGAGAAGTTCTGGCGTAACGCGCTGTTGGCTGGGGCTGTGCCTGTAGTGCTGGGGCCCCCACGGGCCACCTATGAGGCCTTTGTGCCCCCTGATGCTTTCGTGCATGTGGATGACTTCGGCTCCGCCCGAGAGCTCGCAGCTTTCCTCACGGGCATGAACGAGAGCCGATACCGTGGCTTCTTCGCCTGGCGGGAGCGACTGCGTGTGCGGCTGCTCACTGACTGGCGGGAACGCTTCTGCGCCATCTGTGCCCGCTACCCCCACTTGCCCCGAGGTCAGGTCTATGAGGACCTAGAAGGCTGGTTCCAAGCCTAAGCATCCACTGCCCTTGGGAGAGGCCAGGAGGGTGGCAGGGCTGCATGATGCAACCAGATCGGAAGCATCTGGTCTCACAGGCCACCTTGGGTCCCAGCCCAGAAATCCAGGAGGAAGGGGCAGCTACACTGGGTGGCTATGGAAGGCAGGTGGGCTTTGGGGACACTGGAGGGGCCGGTAGGGCAGGGAGAGGCCACTCGAGGCTGGGCTCAGACTGATCAAGGAGGAAAAGGGCTTAGGACGCACCCTCTCTGCCCAGAACAAACTCTGGGTAAGCGAGGTGGCTGGAAGAGGGTGGAGGCAGGGCTCTGGGGGCCAGAGACATCCGGTTTGTGGTTTGTGGGGCACAAACCTGGACCCTGTGAACTTCTATAACTGAGGCACCCTGTCACGCTCTGTCTGGAGACCCCACAATGAGAGGCACAGACAATAAAGAGACAAATGGGACTTTCAGCGAGAGGGTCTGTCAAGGCCACTGTATCCACACACCCTTTCCCCACCTCTGTCCTGCTCTAAGTGGCAGCTCAAGGTGCCCTCCTTGTCCCCAAGGATAAGTAGAGCAGGAACCAGGGCTAAAGCCCCACCGGGGCTGAGGTGCCCATCTCCTGCCCCCGGGCTGGTAGAGCACCTGGATGAGACCTTGAGTCCTTCTGGGGGCCTCGCGGCAGGGTGGGGCAGGAACAGTGCAGTGCATAGGCAGCCAGGCAGTGGAGGTGGAAACTGGGCCAAAGCTGACAAGGGCTGTGGTGGGGGTGGTAGGTGACCCCTTCTCCCCTGAGGCTTGAGGGAAAGCCTGCCAGGGCTTCCTGCCTGGGCCCAGGGTGGCCTCCTGGGCTCATAGGGCGGGGCCTGAGGCTAGTGTGGGTGGGGCTGTCCACCCACCTGCAGGGTCACCTACTCCTGCAGAGGAGCCAGGAGGAAATGGGGAGCCCGCAGATCCTGGCACACTTTTGGGGTGCACTCTTCGGGTATCCCACAGGACACCCACTGTCTCACCCCTCTGGGTCACAGGTGGGAAAGAGAGGCTGAGAAGGAGCCCTCAGCCACTTACCAGTGCGACCTGCCCCTGTGGGCCAAACTGCCCTCTGTTGCCCCCTCCTGGTCTCTCCTGGCACTGATGACCTAGAGAAGACCTGGCCCTGCAACCACCACCCCATCCCCACACTTTAGGCAGGGCTGGGTCTGTCCAGCAGGGGCCCGCCACTCTATGGGTACTGTACAGCGGGGTGCCTGTGAAGGGCTGGGCTCAACCCAGATACAGACCTACAGCCTGCGTTCCCAGCACCCTGACCAGCACTCCTGGGTCACCAGCCTCTCATGTCCATTCTCTTGCTGCTCAGAGGGTGGCACCCTGGGTAGAGAGCCACAATGGAGCCCTACAGTGATTTTTTTTTTTTTTTTTTTTGAGACAAGGTCTTGTTACACATTATAGGCTGCTCTCTAAGTCTAGGTAATCCTCCTGCCTCAGCTTCCAAAGAGCTGAGACTTCAGGCATGCACCACGCCCAGCTAAAATCCTGAATTACAGGATTCACTTCAGAGCTAGGCACTGTGGTGCGTGCCTGTAATCCCAGAACTCAGAAAGATGAGGTGGGAGGATTGCGTTTGGTGAGTTTGAGTCCAGCCTGGGCTATATAGCAGCAAGTCTGTCTCAAAAACACAAAGAAAAAGAGTTCTGAATACAAGTTTAACTTAATCACAGCAGAAGCTTCACTCCAATTCTGGAAGCCCTGGCAGGCTTTCCCATGGGTCACAGGGAAGAAAGAGCCCCCTGCTACCCCCCATCGAGGGCCCTTATCAGCACCAGCCTGGTCCCCTCCACCTCACCTCCCCTGTCCAGTTGCCCATCCGCCACACTGCTCAAATCACCCCTGCCCCCGGCTTCTCAGGTGACCCACTAGCTGCCTGCAGGGCAACTACCTCCTCTTGGGAGGACTGGATTCAGCGGCTGGAGTCCTCCCCATCCATGGACACCACCCCTGCCTGAGCTGTGTAGGGACCTGCAGGGACTCCACAGATGCAGCAGGACCCACATGACTCACGCCTGCTTGCTTTCAACCTACCAGTTAAAACTCTTGTGAGCAACTGGCATGGTGGCACTGGTACCTGTGGTCCCCACTCTCTGGAAGCTGAGGTGTGAGGAAGGACTGTTTGAACCCAAGGGTTGAAGTCTGGACGGGCAAGAGTGCATGCCTGTAATTCCAGCACTTGAGAGGCTGAGGCAGGAGCATCACTCTGGGTTCGAAGCCAGCTGGGCTACATAGTGAACTCAAAACCAGCCTGAACTACACAGGGAGATCCTGTCTCTCTCACACACAAGTTGGAGCCTAGGCGACATACTGAGCCCAGTCTTAGTAAAAACAAAGTCTAGAGATATAGCTGAGTAGTAGACAACTTGTGTAGCCTGTGCAAGGAGACGACCCTGGGCTTAATCTTCACCTCCAGCTCAATCTTCACCCCAAAAACATTAATGACAAAAACGCAAAGCTCCTGTGGGAAACCTGCCTGCTGGCTGAGCGCTGCGCCCCAGGACCTGCGGGCCACAGAATCCTTCTTCCGGCTTCTACACCCTAAGCACTAACGCTCTACCCTAGAGGCCCAGTCAGCGTCACTCGGTCTTTAAGGGTGCCCTCAGGGGTCTCAGCAGTTCGGTGGTGATGCGGCGGGGGCTTCCGGAGGAGCCGCATCCACACAGGAGGCTCCCACCGCACACGCGGGAAGAGGGCTGGTGAGGGGTGAGCTGGAGACAGCCAGGGACCCCTTGGGCGCCTCGGGCGGCAGCCCCTGGAGGAGAGTGGGTGCGGGCTCGGCTCCACTCCCGCGAGCGCTGAGCGGGGCTGGTGCGCGGGTCGGGCGCCCTCTGGCGGGCGCGGGTGCGGGCGTGGGGCGTCGCCTTTAAGCGGGGGAGGCGCGGGGGCCGCGGGCGGCGGGGCGGGGCCGGTCCGGTCCCTTCGCCCCGCCCCGATCCCGGGCGGGCGATGCCGAGCAGCGCGGCGGGCGGCGGGGCCCGGTGGGGCGCGCAGAGGAACAGTCGTGGCGCTAGGCGCGAGCGCCCGCCATGGGCTTCCTGCACCAGCTGCAGCTGCTGCTCTGGAAAAACGTGACGCTCAAGCGCCGGAGCCCGGTGAGCTCGCCAGGCCCGCCCGCGTCCCCGTGCCCGTGCGGCGCCCACCCCTCCCCGTGCCCTGTGCCCTGCGCCTGCCGCTCCGGTCCCGGGATTTCCACCGCCCGCATACACCTGCGCCGGGCGGCTGAGTCACGGTCGCCACGGGTGGGGCCCGGACTGCAGCTCATGGAGGCGCCAGGCCCAGCCTGCCCTCTCCTCCCCATCCGCCCCATCCGCGGCCCTGGGCCGCCGAGCGCTGCGGGGACCCGGCCTCCCCTCCCTGCCTCTCTGCCCTTGGGCAAGCTGGTGCCCGCCGCATTCCTCCGCCGGGCCTTCTCCTCCTCCGCCCAGCCTCCCACTCCTGGCACGTCCACAGCCCTGGCTCCTGCTTTCTCACCATCCTAATGTCCTTGTGCCAGCCTCGGCCGACACACCTTTGTCCTTTGGGGCCAGTTGTCCCCAGGCAGATCCATTTGCAGACGCCAGGCCTCTCCATGGCCCGGGTTCTGCTAAGGGCGATGATCCCGTGGCCCAGAGCACACAGGACACAAGAGCTGTTAGGGGCAGGAGTTGTGGGTGTTCACCAGCATCTACTTGTCCTCCCTGTTGTCAGGAGACCAGAGAGGCCTTAGGCCAGCCTAGGTTATAGGGGCCCTTAGCATTTCCCAGAGCAGGGGGCAGAGTATTGAAGCCCAGGTCTGGGGTGGGTCACTTCTGCTGCCTCCTGGGTTCATCCTTGGGAAGGGCTTCAAAGTCCACTGCAGAGAGCTTGGGCATAGAGAGGGGGCAATGGCTATCACCACCATGGCCTGACAGGATTCCCTTGCTCACCTGGCCCTTGTAGGGAGAGAGACTTGGGGCACTCCTTGCCCCCATAGCCAGGGTCAGCTGACAAGAAGTCTGGAGGTCTGGGTCTGCAGCCCCGCCTCTTAGCAGGCCTGGAATTAGCCCCAGGCAGATGCTTGGGAAGGGCCCTTGGGCCAGGAGCAGAGGGGCATTGTGGCTCTCACACTTAGTGGGCACCCCAGGGCTCAGGAAGGGAGCAGTAGCCTTGGGGCCTTCTGGTAAGGAGGTGGCAGTGCTTGGTGCCTCCTGCAGTGGCCCTGCCTTCTAGCTTGGGTTGTGCCCCTGGGGACTTTTCCAGGAGCTGTGGAGGTCCTCCACTGCTGTGAGGGAGGACAGGGGCTGAGCTGCTGGATCCTTTTCTGGGCAGGTCCTGGACTTTGGAGCTGAGTTCTAGGCAGGACCTGGGTGGGTGGAGGCTCTGTGCTGCCCCACTTGTGGCACACAGGGGCCAGGGGTCCAGCTGTTCAAGGCTGAGTGTCAGGAAGGGCCGAGCCCTGGGTTGTCTGTCCTGTAAGCTTCCTCCACCTCTCAAGAGCTGTGGTTCAGTTTTCCTGTCTGTGAGTATGGCCTGGAGCCACAGGCTTCCGTTAGTGGGGGCAGGGTCATTGTCATTGAGTAGTTGGGGTGCAGGTGCAGGTGTTCCCCATAGGTAGGAGGCTCAGACTACAAGGAGGGAGTCAGCTTCTGTAGAGAGATATCCAGTCCCTGGCACAACAAGGGGACACAGGGCTGGTGTTAAGGGACAGAGGCTTGTCCACCTGTAGGCACCCAATTGGGGCCCCAAGGTGGAGCTGGACCTGTACCACCTGTCTGTAATCAGATGCCCCTGTGGCCACCTGCCTGCCACCCGCCAACCAGGACTCTCCTCCCCCTCCTGCAGCTCATGCGCAGCTGTTGCTATGGCGATGGGGAACAGCCCTGCCTGTTGCTGCAGTTACAGTGGTGGAGGTGCCCCATGGCAGGGCAGTGTGGGCAGGGCAGCACTTGGGCAGGGACCCTGCCTCTGACTCCCCTCACCCAGGGTGTGTGGCCTGTGCTGGTCCTGCAGCGCTGGGGTGCCCATAGCACCTCCTCTCTGGCCCTGGCCTGGTTGCTGGCTGGGAAGGGGGTGGAGGCTGGCACTGGCTGGGGCGGGCGTGGGGTGCGGACACACAGCATGGTGTTCCAGATCACAGAGCCCTATTGTCAGAGCACAGCTGGGATGGGGCTTGGGTGGCCACGCAGGACACTGATGTTTTGGGTGGGGTGAGGGTGGAAGGGATCCTCCACAGAGATCCCTTCTTGCCTGTGGGTCAGAGGACTGGGCTATAGCAGCTCCCCCAAAGCATGACTGGCCCTCTGCCCTGGGTAGGGTGGAGCCAGCACAGTGAGTCCTTCCTTTTCCAGTGGCAGAGAGGAAGGCTGCCCTAGGGGTATATGGTAGCTGCAGGCAGGTGGCCTGCATCTGGCTTGCGTGGCTCCAGAGTTCTGTCCATGTGGCTGAGCATTTGGGAAGTGCGATG